TTTAAATGACAAAGATCCGAAACTTGAGAGTTTTACTTTTACTTTTTCTAATGAGGATATATGATAATTAATGTTATGTTCAAAAAAACAAAAAAAAAATGATAATTAATGTTATCTCGAAATTGATTTATTCTGTTTACTTTTTTTTTCTACCCCCTTGCTCGAAACATGCCTACATTATTACAAGGGGGAAGGCTAGGGCACTCAAACAGTATGATGAACTCATTTCAGCTTTTTTAGTGGCATTTTAATTTTTGCTTCTGTGAAATGCTTTTAGTTCCCCATCAAAAGAACAAATCTAGAAGTCTTATGTAATTAATGAAAATGTTACTTCTTCTCCTAATTAACAAGGTTAAGATTTTCTTTTTGTTTAAGATCTTGAAAAATGTTAGAAAAGGAGCTTTTTCTTACATTTAATTCAAGACTTTAACAATTTAAAACTAAAACGGGAAAACGTCATGTTCTCTCTTTCTTTTTACTAAATAATGGAATAAAAGGGCTATATTTATATTAATATAGCCCTTTCCATAATGGGTTTAATGATGGTTTACTTTTCAATACAAAAGTTCCATTATAATTTAATAAATAGAACTAATAAATAAAACTAAAATTTTAATATAAGAAATATCTGTATTTTGGATCAAAAGATACAATCACACAAAACCAACACAACAAACTCTTAAAAAAGCGACAAAAAGTAAATTGTACCACTAGTTGCATGACAATCTTTTTAGTTGTTCAAAATTGTATGACCTCTAAACTCTAAAGTAAAGTTAAATAAAAAATCAAGAAAAAAATATTGCAATACATAAATATTAATATATCAAAAAGATTGTCATAATACTAATTTTGTTGAGGAAATATCAATATATAAAAAGTTCTATATTCTCTAACTTTTTTTGTTTGTGTGTGTTTTCAATATATTCCCTAGTAATACAATAAAATAAGAACTAATTTTGGTATGTGTGTTTCAGCCTTATCTCTTAGAGCTGTAGATGTTGCTGTTAGCCCTCTGATCCATGATTCATCGGACATCGAGCCCCATCACCACCTTTTTTTTCCCAACAATAATAATCACTTTTTTTCTCTATATTTTTACAATTTATTTTTGGTTATTAGCAGAAGTGGTAGTAGAGTGACAAATCCTAGGCAGTAGTAGTCTCCCAACCAATCCCCGAAGCTAAAGATTCTTCACCTTCCCAAATAAAGCTAAACCTAGATCCGACATTGAAGGAAAACCTTTTAGATCCATCTCTTGAAACCCAACCATGAAGAGAGATCATCCTCAACATCATCAAGATAAGAAGACGATGATGATGATGAATGAAGAAGACGACGCTAACGGCATGGATGAGCTTTTAGCCGTTCTTGGTTACAAGGTGAGGTCATCGGAAATGGCGGATGTTGCTCAGAAACTCGAGCAGCTTGAAGTTATGATGTCAAATGTTCAAGAAGACGATCTTTCTCAACTCGCTACTGAGACCGTACACTACAATCCGGCGGAGCTTTACACGTGGCTTGATTCTATGCTTTCTGACCTCAATCCTCCGTCGTCTAACGCCGAGTACGATCTTAAAGCTATTCCCGGTGACGCGATTCTGAATCAGTTCGCTATCGATTCGTCTTCTTCGTCGAACCAAGGCGGCGGAGATACGAATACTGCAAACAAGCGTTTGAAATACTCTAACGGCGTCGTGGCAACAACAACAACGACGGCTGAGTCAACTCGGCCTGTAGTCCTGGTTGACTCGCAGGAGAACGGTGTGCGTCTTGTTCACGCGCTTTTGGCTTGCGCTGAAGCTGTGCAGAAGGAGAATCTGACTCTAGCGGAAGCTCTGGTGAAGCAGATCGGATTCTTAGCTGTTTCTCAAATCGGAGCAATGAGAAAAGTCGCTACTTACTTCGCCGAAGCTCTCGCGCGGCGGATCTATCGTCTCTCTCCGTCGCAGAGTCCGATTGACCACTCTCTCTCCGATACTCTCCAGATGCACTTCTACGAGACTTGTCCTTATCTAAAGTTCGCTCATTTCACGGCGAATCAAGCGATTCTCGAAGCTTTTCATGGGAAGAAAAGAGTTCACGTCATTGATTTCTCTATGAGTCAAGGTCTTCAATGGCCGGCGCTTATGCAGGCTCTCGCGCTTCGACCTGGTGGTCCTCCGGTTTTCCGGTTAACCGGAATCGGTCCACCGGCGCCGGATAATTTCGACTACCTTCACGAAGTTGGGTGTAAGCTGGCTCATTTAGCGGAGGCGATTCATGTGGAGTTTGAGTACAGAGGATTTGTGGCTAACACTTTGGCTGATCTTGATGCGTCGATGCTTGAGCTTAGACCGAGTGAGATTGAATCTGTTGCGGTTAACTCTGTTTTCGAGCTTCACAAGCTCTTAGGACAACCTGGTGCGATCGATAAGGTTCTTGAAGTGGTGAATCAGATTAAACCGGAGATTTTCACTGTGGTTGAGCAGGAATCGAACCACAATAGTCCGGTTTTCTTGGACCGGTTTACTGAGTCGCTGCATTATTACTCGTCGTTGTTTGACTCGTTGGAAGGTGTGCCGAGTGGTCAAGACAAGGTCATGTCGGAGGTTTATTTGGGTAAACAGATCTGCAACGTTGTGGCTTGTGATGGACCTGACAGAGTTGAGCGTCACGAAACGTTGAGTCAATGGAGGAACCGGTTCGGTTCTGCTGGGTTTGCGGCGGCACATATCGGTTCGAATGCGTTTAAGCAAGCAAGCATGCTCTTGGCTCTGTTCAACGGCGGTGAGGGTTATCGGGTGGAAGAGAGTGACGGCTGTCTCATGTTGGGTTGGCACACTCGGCCGCTCATAGCCACCTCGGCTTGGAAACTCTCCACCAGTTAGATGGTGGCTCAATGAATTGATCAGTTCACCGGTTATGATGATAGATGCTCCGACCGAACCAAAACTAAAGCCTACTGTTTTCCTTTTGTCACTTGTTAAGATCTTCTTATCTTTCAATATATTAGGTTAATTGAAAATTTTCAATCTCGCTTTCGAGAGTTTTTTTTGCATATGTGACATTGGAGGGTAAATTGGATAGGCAGAAATAGAATTATGTAGTTACCAAGTTTTTGTGTAAGTGGTTGAAATAAAATAATCTTGAATGTCACCTCTTATAAAATTCTTTGTAATGATTAATGAGCCTGATTAATCTGTTTCTTACTATAAAATAAAATGAGCTTATTCTCAAGAATATGCTCTTTTAATGTGCATAGTATTATTATAGGTGGACCAGATTATTCTAACAATGCTAAGTCGTTTTCAGTTGTTATTTTGTTAAATTTTTTAAAAGAAAAGTAAATAAAAGAAACCGAAAAGCTATAAATGTCTGCTTTTTTTTTTTTTTTTGCCAATCAAACACCATATATTAATTCACAGAATAAGATTCTCTTCTAGAGAGAGCCAATCAAGTACCGTAGAACTTACATGGGAAAAACAGAACCCACGATTTCTTGCACATTTCGCAAGATAATCGGCGGAGATATTACCACTACGGAGGATATGCTTAAGACTGAAAGAAGTAAAACGATCCCTGTAATAAGCAAAGTCTGATAACTCTGTAGAAAACGTAGGCCATTCCTCAGGAGCACTAGTCATTGTCAATAGGTCAGAGCAATCCGTCTCAATGAGGATACTCGTCATTGGGATCGCCAATAAACACTTCATCGCCCATAAGAGAGTATCCAGTTCAGCATGTAGGGAAGAAAGACTTCTACGCGAGCCTTTCAAGCCCAAGTATAGAAGTCGTTCTCCCTGATGGATAAGCCACCCGTGTCCACTCCTAGTCTCCGTCCCGATCCAAGAACCATCAATGGAGCATAATGGTCTATTCTCTGCAGCTGGTGCCTCATGCGAACTAAGAATCGGCTCGGCCGGGGGGTCTTCTCGCTGATTTGCTCGCCTCCACGCGCCTTCCTCTTGAATTGCAAGATCAAGCGTTTCCTGAGGTGGTACACTCAAATTATCGAAAATCTTGCGATTGCGCGCCTTCCAAATATACCACATAATCCATGGGAATACTCTTAGACTATCTTCATCCGCCCCCGCTTCTTTACCCCGCCAATACAGATAATCTAAATTATTGTAAAGTGACGCGAGGGAAACAACGCTGGGGGAGATGGAATGATAGAGAGAGCCCAGACTTGTCTAGCAGGAGGACATTCGAATATCAAATGATTGATTGATTCTTCGTCTGCACCACATCTTGAACATCCTTTATCCTTACCAATATGGCGATAAAAAAGGCGTTGGCTCGAAGCCAAACAACCAGTCACACATTGCCACATGAAATATTTTAATTTTCGCGTAGTTTTTAATTTCCAAGCTTGCGCCTTTAGTGTCGTAACACTAGGTCCCTGAGAAGGGTGGTCACAAACAGGGCGAGAAAGATTTCTCGCGACCTCGTATCCAGATTTGACGGTGTAATTACCAGACTTTGTCATTGTCCAACAATAACCATCCCTCGAGACAATACGACTCGGTTTAATCCCTAATATTAGGGTAATTTCTTCCGGGGGAACAATTCCCGGAGACGATCTATCTTCCACTGTTTAGACCCAAAGTCAATCAAGGTATTGACAAAAACCAAAGGGTCCCTCTCCGCGGATAATCCCTTAAGTGGGCGAGCCGGGATATCTGGTATCCAGGGGTCTGTCCAAATGCAGGTACCGAAGCCCGAGCCAATGGTCTTACGGATTCCAAATTTGAGAACATCCTTGGCGGCCAGCATGCTTCTCCAACCATACGACGGTCTATTGGAGACAGTGATCTCTAGCGGACTAGAATACCGAAAGTAACGTCCTTTAAGAACCCTACTAAGGAGAGAATCTGGAAATCGTAATAATCTCCACAATTGCTTCACCAAGAGTGCGAGATTAAAATCTTCCAAGGACCTAAATCCTAGCCCTCCTTCAGAAAGTTGGGTACAGATTTGGTCCCAAGCTATCCAGTGTATTCCTCGACTATCTGCTTTATTACTACACCAAAAAAAAATGTCCACCTTTTTGTTGTGAAAGATATAGTTCAGGGTCAATTGCATAAATAATTCCATACTATGTGTGAAAATGGGAAATGCAGATGTTCTTTGTAAATGAAAATTTGAAACTGGTTTAGGAACATGTTTAAGAGATTATAAAAACAGACAGAGGTCAGGTGGTCGTAGACTTCACTCGTGACCCTTTGGTATATAGTTGAGTGACTGTGACATTTGATCCTTTATGTCCTATGATGTATAAAAAAAGGGCACGAGGCGGTTGATGGTTGATTATAGTCAACTTTTGCTACCCCACATATATGGGCCGAATAATTCCTAATGGGCCTTATTAAACATTCCCTCACTATCAAACTACAGGTTAAAATCATATGTATCAGAAAACTCGAATTGAATAGAGTGAACAGTGTCACGGTCGGAAATCGAAAGCAAGTAGAAAATGGTTCAGAAAAGAAAAAAAAGAGCAACTTTGAGGTGGGAGTCTTAAGACGGAGAAAAGATTTGCATGTTTTCTTTTGTATGTCTGATTTTGTTTCAGAATAATGGATATTTTGGATTTTGGTTAATCAATACCTCCCCTCATGAAAATCTTTCTTTTTTCTGTTTTAAAATTAATTATGAGATAGATAGTGAGAGTCATGAGACTAATATACATCCGCCTTATATATATATATCTGACACAAAATCGTATAACTAGCACACACTTATTTTCTTACGAACACGCATATAACAACATCACAGACAGAGATGATACATAAGCATACAAGACCGCCATTATCATTAGCATAACATGTAGAGGCGGGTGATAAAAGGCACGTACGAGACAAACACAAATTAAAGACACACATGCATAAGGATAATTTACGACGATGACCATGGTCCATGAGGTTTTTAAGCTTTGTTCTGGCCCTTGAGGACGTGGTCGTCCATGTCAGCAACTAAGCTCTTGACAAACTTCACGTAGTTGACTGGTTCGGGGGAGTCTTCCTTGCGCTTCTCCCATATCAGAGTGACTTTGCAGACGCAGCCTTCCTTCGACTTGGGAATGAACTGTAAGTTGACGTTATACACCTTGTACTGCTCCATCACGTGCCCCTCTAGTCCTCTGAACGTCAATGCCATCTTCTCGTCGTCTATATCTCTCTTCTCCTTGATGACTTCCGGCTTCCCATCTTCATACACACACATAGGGGCATGCCCGGCCCGCTACCAAAACCCAATAAACAAATGTGTTGGGCCTCCAAATTTTTAAAGACTTTTGGTACTAAAATTAGGCCTCAAGAATAATTTTGTATTGCAAAAAGAGGCCTCATTTTTCCAAAATTTTAAAATTTAATCTCAAATTTTAAATTTTATCCATTTTTTATTGCAAAAAATAGGCCTCATTTTCTAAAAATTTAAGATTTAGTCTCCTTTTAAAAATTGTCTACAAAATCCATCTAAATTTTTTTTTGCCCTGTATTGGGCCTCTAATATAACAGGGCCGGGCCTGCATAGGGGTGGACATTTTAACCGAACCGAACCGACCGACCCAACCCAACCGAACTCAAACCGACCCAAACCAAACCCAAGCTTAGACTCTAATTTCGGCCTCTCCCTCCGTTACTCCGCCTCTTTCTCTTTTTTATGTGCAGGGGATTCTTCTAGTCTAGCAGCCTAGCCTAACCATTTGGGTGTGTTTTTTCTCAACCCAAATGGGTCGGTTCGGCTCGGTTTAAAACCAAACCGAACCGATAACCCAATGTGTTAATTTAAATAATTAATTAATTAGATTAATAATATCATAAATAAGTAAATATATAATTGTTCATCTGAATTATTCTGTTCATGGTGAATTATTCAATTTAAACTTACAACTTGAACTTGTCGCTTAAATATTTTAGATATTATCAAGTTCAATGTCCAAAGTTAAAACGATAATAAACTAAAGAATTTTGTTTTGTTATATTAATTGATTTTTTGAACCGAACTAAAACCGAACCGAACCAAACATAAACTGACCCAAACACAAACCAAACCAAACTAACTTTGGTTGAGTTTGGTTAGAGTTTTACGAAACCCAAATAAACTGAACCGAACCAAACCCAAACCGAACCCGAAGTTAAACCGAAATGCCCACCCCTTGACACACACACACGCAATTCTACTCTACATTAGAAAATAGATATCATCAACTCTCGGCTCTCGCATGACCAAACAGAAAGAGATAGAGTAAAGTAGGGACCGAGTGTGTAGTTCCAGGATTTGATGGAACCGTGGGATTTCCAGTCGCCGTCGTGGACGGTGACACCTTGGACATGGTGGCCGATGGCGTCCGGGAAGAGGTTGTTTTGGCTCCTCCATCTCCTATAGTGTTTCTCCGCCGACCCTTTCAGCGGTACTTCCGCCACATATGTTCCTGACATCGCCATTTCTTGATTGATTTTTTTTTTTTGATATGTGTCAAGTGTTTTGTTCGATGCAAAAACACAAGTGTTTCCCTTCCTTTATATACAAAAACCCACCACAACACTACAAGAAACGAAAATGGGTATATATATGTACATGTGAAACAATATCACATCTTATAGTCTTTTTAAAATATAAGGTTTAAATCTTTTAAATAAGATAAAGATTTCAATTGTTCAATATCTGCTAAATTCTGAATATGAATGCTTAGTGCACCCGTCTTTTAAAGTGGGTTTTAACCAAAAACCTAAGTTTCATTTTAAGTGGAAGTTAAAGAAATGCATGTGAAGATTGTAATAAATGATTGAATTAAGGCTTAACTCAGGTTATTAACTGGATAAAAAGAAGCAAAAAAACCAGGGCGATATAGATGGACAAGAGGGTTTTCCGTTACTTGAGGACCATAGATGTCATCATAGTGATATTGATGCCTCCACATGTGTAGCCTATTTGTCGTCTTTTCCATCTATTCCTCACTTATAGATTCGTTGCACCCTGAGCATCCGCAACGTGCTTCTCATATGGAGTTCTTTAAATTTTATGGATCAAAAATAAATAAAAATAGAGTATTTACTGAAGAATCGAGTCTTTATTAAGAGGTTAAAGAACCCCATAAGAATTGGTGGCCCCACAAGAGCTGGTGTTATGTCACGTTTTAATTGGTGGAAAGCAGATTTATTAAAAAGAGAAAAATCTCTTCTTTCTTGAGACTTCTTTCTCTTTCTTTTCTTCTTTCTCAGATTTAGTGTCGTGTCATAAGAACCTCAACTTAATACTCCATGGTTGGAAATGGTCTTATGTTCTAATCGTCGATTTAAGAATTCTTTTATATAAACATGTAAACACTTGACACATATCAAAAGCTAGATGCCAACGTACGTGCCCATCAAAAATAGTTTATGATAAAATGCATATATTGATGTTCCCATCTATGAATGTTAGAGTTGGATTGATCCGAGATTATGATAAAATGTGGGATTAATGATTACTCAATATATATTCGTATTTTGTTATTGTTTCATAATGTAATTAAGAATATATCAATGTGAAATATGAAATGAATAAGTACACAAGTATTAAACATTATTTGGAAGCGCTACTTGGATCATATTGTTGCCATGAAGACCTATTTGGAATTATGAAGTCACTTCGTTGAGATAAAACGCTTCAATTATAGCACCTACATAGTGTCGCATAAATCACATTGAGATTCTCGCATAAATGCATATTCAAAAGTTATACAAGAGATTATAAATTTGGAGCAAAATTAAATTTCAATTGATTGTAGTTTCGAGAGCGAATCTGTTTTAGCTGAAGAACTTAAATCTGCTACTACGTCAAATTACAATGATCATTAATTGATATTCTTATTCTATTTATTAATTTATGTAATTTTAATTCTTATCTTATCAATTTTTTTTAGGGTAAATTGCATGTTATGGCAGTTGACCAAGTTTTAATTTCAAGTTTTGGCAAAGTGAGAATGGGCTTTCAAGTTTTGACATTTTGGCCAAAATCTGACCATTTTACCCCTACCGATGTACTGTTCACTGTACGGTTCAGTTAAGCGTACGGTTCAGTTAAGCGGTTCACTGTACGGTTCAGTTAAGCGGTTCAGTTACGTACACTGTTCCGGTTACGCAATATATTTCGTTCTTAATTGATTTGTGCGGGAGTACAGTGACAAGTTGGGATTAATAACATTAAAACACAATGAGACATCAGTATTTAATGCCCAAAAAGTTTAGACATGACTCATGTCACAATTAATACAAAAGTCATCATTACTTTTTCTAATATTAGTTTATATGTGTGAATAGTTGTAAGAGACAAACATGATCCATCAAAGAAATAAATTTTTCTGAACGAATGTGATTCTGCATCGGTTTGATCTTCTTGATTTACAAAGTTTGGAGCCAAGACAAGCATTGAACGTGTAAGTAATGAAATTGGTTAAGAAGTTTTTTGTTTTAACACACTAGGGTCTTGATTGTGTGCTAAGATCAACATTGTTTTTATATAAAACCTCAGAATATTTTTATTTCCACTTTTTTTAGTTGAAATTGCTAAATGAGGATAGATTTATGTTTATAAGTGTGTAGTTGAGAATTCTTTTTGTTTTTTGTAGATATAATCATGCTTTCATTTGCATTTAATGGGGTTCTGCTGAATTTATGATGCAGGTTGGTAATGGATATTCCCGTATTTACTATGGTGGGTGAGTGGAAATGCAAAGAAGAAGAATGGAAATTTGAACCATGGGAAGGCTGGTTTGGTCGTTGTGTACGTGTTAGGCAAAACATGACGTACACGGCATTTGTACGTACATTATGCGAGGTTTTCAGTTTGAAGTGCACCGAATGCAATCCAATAATTAGTTACTGGATGCCGGGAAAGATGTCAGTGATGATAGAAAGTAAACGCCCTCCTGTATACATTGACAATCAAATGAACCTGGATACATTCTTTTTGATTCGTGGTGGGGATCCTAGTGTCACCTTGTTTGTCTCTTTCATTACAACCGTCAAGGCACTCGGGAATACTGTCCCTAGGACCGATGGTGAGAGTTACCGTGTGTGTGGGAGTGCAACGACACCAAATCCCATCGTAGCGGCTTCAAATGTAGATGGAAATAATGAGGCCATAGATGAGCAAGACGACGTTGAAGACGATAAAACAGATGAGGATGAAGAAGAGGAGGAGGACAACGAAGATGGTGCTGGGTATGATGATTATCAGGGTGATGATGGATCTATGGGGGGAAGTACCCTCGATCCTACTATAGACGGTAGTGAAGGCAGTGGCGAAGATTACGATTACAACAAGTGGAACGATTTAATTATTGAAGAATATGGAATAGGGAATGTTGAGGAGGACGTCATTCTCACTCAACAAACGGTTCAACATCCAGGGGAATTCAGTCGTCTATTGGCAGAGTGTACGTACACAAGTCATCGTGTACGTGGGGGAGATAACTCGGTTGACCGTACACCAACGGTGACTCCAAGACGTACGTGTCAACATGGTTTGTACCAATGTACGTACACAACAGAATGTGTACAAGATACAGGCTGCGAAGGTAACACCGATACCAATATTAATGGTATAGACGATGTCTCTGGGGATGATGTTATCGAACGTGGTATTGGAGATTCCCCAAGTGGGACACTGAATGATAATCGGCTAGTTACTGCACCTGACGGAGATAACATTTCTCATTCGGGTGACCGTACACCAACGGTGACTCCAAGACGTACGTGTCAACATGGTTTGTACCAATGTACGTACACTACAGAGTGTGTACAAGATACAGGCTGCGAAGGTAACACGGAAACCCTTTCACATTCGGCAGTTACATCAATCAAACACAAAGTCTTTCGATTTTTCTTGCTAACCGTGTGATGGACGGGTATCACACCATCTCCGAATTGTGTCCTCAGATCACTGGGTGGACAATTTGTGTATTTGTCGTGAGAGTGTTTAAGAAGTTTGTTGCGCCCAACATCTTCGAACTCGGCCTTATCTTGGCAGATAATTCGGTAGTTTCCCTGTGCCGTGTTTGTGTTTTTTTATCATACGTTAGGTTCAATTCTATATAAATCAGTATTTAATACCTAAAAAGTTTAGACAAGACTCTTGTCACATTTAATGCAAAACTCATCATTACTTGTTGTAATATTAGTTTATACGTGTGAATATAATTGTAAGAGCTAAGCATGAACCATCAAACAAACAAATTAGTCTGAACGAATGTGATGCTGGAGAAGTTTTGATCTTGTTGATTTACAAAGTTTGGAGCCAAGACAAGCATTGATCGTGTAAGTAATTAATTTGGTTAAGAAGTTTTTTTTGTTATAACACACTACAAAAAAGACAGAAAGACTCTTTCCGAATCAGTGTACAAGATGTAGAAAAGCAGGTCATAACAAGAAGACTTGCAAAAATCCTATTTAGTTTTATGTCCTTGTTTTTTGTCACCGTGTAGATAGTGTACGTTTATGTCTGGACCATGTGTACCACATTTTTTGTCGGTGTACGTACGTTTAATGTTTGCCATTATATAACTATGTACGTTTCTGATATGTCTGTGTACATAAAATAATTCGATATTTTTGTGAGAATTGCCCCTCCCTAGGTACAATACTTCTCTTTTCCTGGGCTCTCCAGGCTGCATCTATGACCGATATATAATTCATTTTTCTTTCATTTCCCAGACAAACCATGAATACTTCATAAATTAAAAACCCTATTCTAGGAGTAGAAAACGTAATTATATAAATCCATCCCCAAAACGCATTATAATTCCATAAGAACCGTATATTAATAACATATTTTTGTTTCCACATTAAAACCCAAGATTCCAAAAGAATGTAAAACCGATAAACTGTGAACATAAACAAATTTGTCTCCAAACTCGAGACCCACATTGTATCCAAGAATTTGTCTTGCCCTGCAGTCACCTTCCTTGCATCTAATAAATCAGATTTGTTTCCAGCAAGGGCCATGACCATATTAGGGTTACCTATAATATATTATTTATTTAGTAAAACCAACAAACAGAGACTAAAGCTAGACAGTGCCTGCAACTGTTAGTCATAAACTAACAAAGAAAAATCAAAGCCATAACTTAGCTATACAATACCTTGTGCCTGCAGTTCCTGAACCCATTTCTTTGCCCTCTCAAACGAGGCCTAAGAAGATAGCAAAAGATTCAAATAAACATAATTTAGTAGAACGCCACTGAATTGCATCTACTGATCAATAGAGAGCATGGAGTTTTATCATTCTGTACCTGATTCGTAACATCAAAGACAATGATTGCAGCAGCAACACCTCTGTAGTACATTGGAGCCAAACTATGGTACCGTTCCTGACCCGCTGTATCCCAAATCTCAAACTTGACAGTTGCATCGTTGATAGCTAACGTTTGTGAGAAAAAAGCAGCACCAATGGTTGATTCCTATAACATAAACAAATATCAAAGTCAAGAAGCACACAAAGAATGTGAAAACAACAAGATGATCATTATAACAGAAGAGCCATTAACCTGGAATTCAACAAACTGATCTTTGACAAAACGTAACACAAGACTTGATTTTCCAGCTCCAACATCTCCAAGTAACACCTGAAGACTTAACCAAGTAGTACACAGAAACAAATCAAAATAAGTAAAAAAACAATCAAGAATGTTTGCAAGCATCGTCATATCTATAATCCTGGTTCGAGATAAATCACTAAAACCCTATTACGAAAACACCTAAATAAAAATCCAACATAAACCCTAACAACAAAATCCGATCAAAATTCTCCAAATTAGAAACAGAATCACATCCGGAAACTGAAAATCTAACAAAAGGGTTAGCAAATTCAATCAATTTCACAATCATCGGAGAGAAAACAAAAAAAAATTCAAAGGGAGCTCAAAAGAATCGAGCTAATAAGACTGACCAATTTGGCGTTAATGCTCTTGTTTCCAGCTGCAGCCATGGATTTATCGATCTGAAGAGAATCGGATCCCGATAATGAATTCCGTCTCTCTCTCCTTCTTCTTCTTCGTTTTCTTCGACAGTTTCTGCAACGAAAGTTTTTTTTTTTTTTTTTTTCAAAACTAACTAAACCGTGTGATGTAAAACAAAAGAAAGCAACTAAACCGAAATTAACTCTGTCGTTTGGTTTTCGTCGTTAGGGGTATTTTCGTCACAATTTGGCTTAACTGCCACCACGTGAGAATGAATTTTCACTTTGCCAAAATCTGAGACCAAATCTTTTTTCTATGCTAAACGTGAAAATAACTTTTTTTTTAATCATGCATCTCTTTGGTTAGGTATGTTTGTGTAATTTTTTTTAATAGTATAGGTCAGTTTGTTTGTGTTACGTGCATATATGATTTCTTTAATTAGTCTGTTTGATTTTGTTTAAGATTAATGGATATTTTTGGATTTTGGGTAATCAGTCGCCTCATGAAAAAGTTACCTATATTTAATTTTTGATGAAAGTAATTTATGTGATAGATGATAATGAATGAGACTATATATATACATCCTTATATTATGCGCTTTATATGTCTTACAATTACTTTTATATTACGAGCACACTTATACACCATAACAACATATATATAATCATCAAAGACCGAGATGATACATAAGCATAAAAGAAAAAGACCGCCATTATTATTAGCATAACAAGTACAAAGGGGAAAAGAGGCGGATGAGGCAAACACAAAAGATACACATACATAAAGATGATGATTATACGACAATGACCACGGAGGGTATCTAAGCTTTGTTCTGGCCCTTGAGGACGTGGTCGTCCATGTCAGCAACTAAGCTCTTGACAAACTTCATGTAGTTAATGGGTTCAGGGGAGTTTTCGTTAAGCTTCTCCCATATCAGAGTAATTTTGCAGACGCATCCTTCCTTCGACTTGGGAATGAACTGGTAGATAACCTCATACTTCTTGTACTTCTCCATCGCGTGACCCTCTAGCCCTCTCAATGTTAGCGCCATATTTTTGTCGTCTATCTCTCTCTTCTCCTTGAAGACTTCCGGCTTTCCATCTTCACACACACACACACACACACAATGCTAGTCCACATTAGACGTATTATACAAACACACACAATTATCAAACATAAAGAGAGAGGACACCCGGTGTCGGTAGCTCTACCGGTTGACCTTGGAAACTCTTGGAGGAGAATTTGAAATAGGTTATGGATTCGAGGCCTACCGACATCGGGGAGAGGAGGACTTACCTACCTAGTCCTTGGCCCCTAACAAAAAATATATGGACCAAAAATCTATATCTACTAAAATACTAACAAAAAGAGAGAGAAGGTAAAGTAGAGACCGCATGTGATGTTCCACGATCGGATGGAGCCGTGGGAGTCCCAGTCACCGTCATGCATAGTGCAACCTTGGATGTGGTGGCCGATGGCATCCTGGAAGAGGTGGTTTTCGTTCCTCCACCTCTTGTAGTGTTTCTCCGCCGACCCCTTTAGTGGTACCTCCGCCACATATGTTCCAGACATTGCCATTTCTCGATTGATTGATTTCTTTTGAAATGTGTCAAGTGTTTTGTTTGATGCAAAAAACTCAAGTGTCGCCCTTCCTTTATATACACGAAACTCACCACACAACAAAACAAAAAAGGCAATATATATACATGAAACATCATATATAATTGTCTCCTTTAAATTTAGGGTTTAATTCTTTTTATTAGAGTTAAAGATTTCATTCATTCAGTATCTACTAGATCCTGAATATGATAGCTTAGGTTAACCTCAGAAATAAAATCGTACACCCATCTATAGTTTAATTCTGAACTCGATTTTTGAGCTAGATTGTTGACTATTTTAATTAACTCTTGTTTGTTTTTAAGTTGTACACATGTTGATTGTAAAAAAACGTAAATCACTTCTCTCCAAACGTAACAATAGACTCGAAGCAAGATACTTTCACCACTCAATCAACACTTCCTTAAGTGATTGATGTAATGAATACATTAATTAACTGTCTATTTAAATCATTATATTTTGCTAATTAACTCTAGTTTCTATATTGATATAAACTCTAAACTCAAAACTAAAAATAAAGCCAAAATTTGAAAAACAAATACCAAACAAAACATAAAACAACAACCTAGTAGTCGATCTGAATATTGTCTTTTAAAGCATTATTAGGTTTTAGTCTCAGACCAATTCAACTTAGTTTTTTCTTATCATACACCAAATGTTCAATGTACGTAAGAGGAAATATTTAATCTGTAAACTATATATAATCGCATATTGAGTTATCTAAAATATTTAATCGCTTGGAAATATCGTTGAATCTACTATCTCCATATCAAGTGATGGCATGTGAAGATAGTTTGTAAATGCTGGATTAAGGTTTGAATCGGTTAGAATGTCATTATTCATAGTCATAGGTAATAGATTATTGACTGGATAATCAATGATTCATTGGATAAATACCGATTAAATTAAAATAACAGAAAAAACCTAGGCGAAAGAGACAGTTTTGCGTAATTTAATGATCATCGACGTCATACTGATATTGGTGCTCCACACGTGCGGTCTAAGTGTCGTCATTTCCATTTATTCCTCACTTATAGATTCATTGCACCCATATACGTTTTAGTGATCGAATTTAGTACGTTCTTATCGCACACATGAATATCTTAATTTCCGTTTCTCTAAGTTGTAGACTTATAAACTCAAAAGACGTTATCGTTGATCCTATATATATAAAAAGTATGATGATTTAATCAATTACAAATCTATCTTCTCTTTATCTATTGAATATTCATTTGTGGTTATTATTTCTGAAATATTAAACTGTACACAATTAGAGGAGAAGAAGCTGAGAAGTGATTACAAAAATCAAGACTATTAATGTGACATAAGATAGACAAAAATCAATATATGCATTAATTATGTGGAAGCGCTACATGGATCATATTGTTACCACGAAGACCCATTTGGAACAATGATGCAACTTCGTTGAGATAAAAAGCTACAATTATACCACCTTCATGGTGTTGCGCGTTCGACCGTTAACGAAATAAGAAGCAGTGATCGCATATCCAAAAGCTATACAAGAGATGATAAAGTTGGAGCGCAATTAAATTTCAGTTGATTGTAGATTCGAGAATGAAACTTTTTTAGTTGAAGAAATCTGATAAGATCAAATTGTATTACGATGATTATTTAATAACACTCTGTTCTATTAATAGTTTTATGTAGTTTTAAACTTTTAATACGTATCTTATCAGTAAGAGCATATATATTTGGTTTGGATTAATTTGTTTGTGTTATGCAATAAATTTGTAAGTTTTGTATGTCTTATTTTATTTTCTTTAGATTAATGGATATTTTGGATTTTGGTTATATTTTTCTAAATTTGTACTTTGTTTTTTTGACATAAGTAATATGTGTAGATAATGAGACTAAACATCCTAATATTATGCTCTTACATATTATACAAAAAATTGTATAACCAACACACAATTATTATATAACGAACACCAATACACTATAACATCATATCAAATCATCAAAGACAGAGAGATGATATTGATACATAAGCTTACAAGACAAACCGCCATTATTATCAGCATAAAATGTACACAAGAAAAGGAGGCGGATGATCACCCATCTACGAGACAAACACAAAAGAGACACATATGTATAGATGCTTTTTATTTATTTTATCTTCTTAAAGATGATCACTATGATGATTACGCCTTGTTCTGGTTCTTGAGAATGTGGTCGTCCATATCAGCAGCCAAGCTCGTGACGAACTTCATGTACTTGATTGGCTCCGGAGAGTCTTCGTAGCGCTTCTCCCAAATCATAGTGACTTTGCAGACGCAACCTTCCTGAGACTTGGGGATGAACTGGAAGATGACATCATACACCTTAAGCTGCTCCATCACGTGACCATCCAGCCCTCTAAACGTCACAGCCATCTTCTCGTCGTCTAACTCCCTCTTCTCCTTGAACACCTCTTGCTTCCCATCTTCATATATATATATACATGCACCTTGCATTAATAGAAACCCTAGCTAATAATAAACATTTTCATACAGATAGAGAGTGAGATATAGAGTACCGCATGTGTAGTTCCACGACTTAATGGCCCCGTGGGAGTCCCAGTCGCCCTCGTGAACGGTGACACCTTGGATGTGATGGCCAATGGCTTCCGGGAAGAGTTGGTTTTCGCTCTTCCACCTCTTGTAGTGGTTCTTCGCCGACCCTTTCAGAGGAACTTCTGTCACGTATGTTCCTGACGTCGCCATGATGGAGCTTCTAAAAAGCTTTTGATTACTTGTCTTTGAGAGTGTTTATGCCAATTGTTTTTTTTTCTCTCTGGAGGCGGATACAAAAACTAAAGCTCATATCGCCCTTCCTTTATATACACAAACTCGTCACAACATTACAAGAAACCAGATATATATGTATGACTTTTTCAAGAAGTAAACATATATATATATATATATATATATATATATATATATATATATATATATAAATCAAAATTACTTCAATATACTGTAGAGTTAAAATCTTATTTGTCTTTTTATACATATGTAACGTTACCACGAAAAAATGTAACGTTCGAATTTATAATAAAATGACATAAACAAATATTTGCCATGCATTGTGCTGAATACTATCAAATTATTAGATATGGTCGCGGTTTAATACTATCAAATCTACGTTGGATTAATAAAAAGCAGATGTGAAAAAATGTATCGTTCGAATTTATAATAAAAATGACATAAACAAATATTTGCCATGCATTGTGCTGAATACTATCAAATTATAAGATATGGTTGCGATTTAATTGAAATGGTTAGTGTTCCTCACATTAATCAGATTTACAAGAACTTAGGGATCAACTGCTAGCTAGGATATAAACCAACTATTTGGGAGAGCATAATTAGGAGTGTTTATAAAAAATGTTGTACAATTTTTCCGAGAAAAGCCGAACCCATGAGGGAAAGCAGTTACAAAAATAAACTACAAAATGCAAGTGGAGATATATGTATCACAGATTGATAGTTGGATAAACAGCGATTAAAGAAAAAAAGACCTGATCGAGCGAAAGAGACGGACAAAAAAAAGTAGGTGAAACTTCGTCCGTTTTTGGGTTATTTAATGTTCTTCAACGTCATAGTGATACTGGTAGTCCACACGTGTGGTCTATGTGTTATCATCTCCAGTTTCCACTCTTCGCTTTAGGTTATTTGCCATACCTTCTAAAATGTATGCGTAACTTTGTGATATCTAACTATTGATCTTAATTGGAATTAGGGTTATTGACTATATTAATAATCTCTCATATATATGTATGTTACTATATATGTACCACTTCTTTGTATACTTTTGGACTATCTCACTTGACCAGACCCCCAATTTTTTGTTGGAACTTGTTTTTGACGAAGTGGTTTTGATCATTTTCCGGGGATTTTTCGGTGAAGACGTTCATCGGAATGACCGGTTCTTGGGCACGATGTAATCGTCGCTGCGTGCATTACATGGTAGTGTATTTGAATGTCAAAAACGAAGTTCGTATGAATGAGAAATAGATGTCCGAAGTGGGTAGCTTGTAAAGCTTGGAATTTTGACTTAGAATCAAATGACATATTTTGGAAGTTAAAAGAGAAACCCAATTACACATGGGCTGTAGTTGGGATTTGAAAAATGGAAAATGAGCTTATAAGCCATAAGATTATTCTTATTTTCCTAAGTTGTTTTGATTAAATTTGTTAATTAAATCAATAAATATCTCCTTTAATATTAGGTTTTGTAACAACAAAATCAATCAACGACAATATAATTAAGGTGGAATAATTCTTTTGACTTTGAAATTGAAAATCAATTCTCATAAGTGTCGTATCCTCCTCTTAATTGTGTGTACGTTGAGATTTTGTGTATAAAACGATGGCCATTGTCTCTCATTCTGATACACGTTCAACAACATAACAATCTCCTTCTTCTTCTTCTCTTCTCTAGTTCGAGTCTGAGAGTACAACACAAGGCTAGTGTTCGATTAGCTTTTGATTTGAGTGTTGCAATCAAAAGGAGAAACAGTTTTATACTGGGACTCTAATTGTCATCAAACCGGCACACTACGGGGCAATTTTTGAGTTAAGGAGAGAGATCATCAACGTTCTAGACTCTGTTTACCACCGTGAATCTTCGTTCTTCAATCATCCTTTCGATATTGTTGATTTTTGATACTTGTTCTATGTTATTTGTTTTACAAATATTAGATTGTGCCCTTATTGAAATATTAAGGTCCTACATTTTTTCCGGATATGTTTCGGGTCCATACCAGATTGTACAAGTATTAAATAAACGAACAACATGGGGACTAAAAAGAAAGAAAAAAAACGAACAACATTATATTTATGTAAATAAACGTTGGACATACAACACCATGACGATATTAATATCATGTACAAGATGGACACAAATTAAAACCGTAGAGAAATGAAGGAGGATGTGATGATGATTAAGCATCGATCCATCATTCCTGGTTTTGGAGGATGTGGTCGTCCATGTCAGCAATCATCTTCTCGACAAACTTCATGAACTCGATGGGCTCTGGGGAGTCTTCGGTGCGTTTCTCCCAAATCATAGTAATTTTGCAGACGCAGCCATCTTCGAACTCGGGGATGAAGTGGAAGGTTGTAACATACACCTTAAGCAACTCCATGACGTGACCATCGAGCCCATTAATCGTTACCGCCATATTCTCGTCGTCGATCTCTATCCTCTCCTTCAATACTTCCTCTTTCCCATCTTCATCACACACACAAACACCACAATTTTGTATACTCATCAACATACCCATTTATATCTTACCATAATTAAACCCTACTTTTCTATGTTTTAACAAATCATTTGTAAGGGAAAATCATGAATATTCACATATATAGGTGTTCCCTTTATGTGTTATTTATATTTGTGTCATTATATGTAGAGGAAAAAAGTATAAATACGGACCACGAGTGTAGTTCCATATTTTGATGGTTCCGTGTGAGTCCCAATCGCCTTCGTGGACGGTGACACCTTGGATGAGGTGGCCAATGGCGTCAGGGGCGAGATGGTTCTCGCTCCTCCACCTCTTATAGTGTTTCTCCGCCGATCCCTTCAGAGGCACATCCGTCACGTATGTTCCTGACATCGCCATTGATGAATTAATTAGCTTTCGATCGTTTTTTTTTGTTGGTTGTGTTTTGAGTGTTTTTGTTCCTTTTGTCTGACAAAAATACTTTGATCTCGCCTTCCTTTATATACACAAGCTCAACACCAAGCTACATTAACAGCGAAATTATTACAAAATTTTTGTATACGACTTTTCAAACTGTCGACGGATCAATATATCTAAACAATCTGGTATATAGTCACGTATTGATATACCCTTATAAATAATGACAATAATTGTAATATTAATGCGATAATTTCATACCATGTATCAAAATGTAGTTTTCAATTTCATACAATCTCACAAAATCTGTATTTTTAATGAACCGCGAAAACGATATTATATATAAAACGATTCCAGCCATTTGGTGACACACGCACATTTTCCAAAAAGATTTGGTCAATTGTGTAATGTATATCAATCGAGAAGGAAACTTAAAATATAAAGAAGTTGAGAACGTTAAGAATCATCCAAAATTTATGTCATATTTAAAAAGAGAAATTGTTAAAAATGTCCCTTTTTCAATACCCCTTTTCAAAAATGCCTTCTTTGAGAGTCCATTTTTAAGTTTGCCCTCTTTTAATTTTTAATGACCATTTTACCCTTATTTGAAACAAAATTAGGTCCACAAAATACAAAATATTTTTTGGCGGGAAAAGTGATCCCGCAATTTTCCCGCCAAAACACTTGTAAAAACCTTTAAAAAACCTTGTAAAATTTTCCCGTAAAAATTTTTCCCGCCAAAAAATTTTCCCGCCAAAAAATTTGTTTTGCGGGAAAAGTGATTCCGCAATTTTTTTTGCGAAATTTTTTTGGCGGGAAAAATTTACAAGGTATTTTAAAGGTTTTTTACAAGGTATTTACAAGTGTTTTGTAAGGTTTTACAATGTATTTTAAAAGGTTTTACAAGGTACTTTAAGGTTTTATAAGGTATTTATAACTTGTAAAACCTTATAAAAAACTTGTAAAACCTTATAACTTGTAAAAATCTTATAAAATACCTTGTAAAATCTTATAATATCTTATAAATACCTTGTAAATACGTTGTAAAACCTTTTAAAATACATTGTAAAACCTTATAAATACCTTGTAAAAAACCTTTAAAATACCTTGTAAATTTTTGGCGGGAAAAATTTTCCCGCCAAAATTTAACGCCAAAAAAATTGCGGAATCACTTTTCCCGCAAAAAAAATTTTTTGGCGGGAAAATTTTTTGGCGGGAAAAATTTTACAAGGTATTTTAAAGGTTTTACAAATTTTTACAAGTGTTTTGGCGGGAAAAATTGGGGGATCACTTTTCCCGCCAAAAAATATTTTGTATTTTGTGGACCTAATTTTGTTATATTTCCTTATATATTTATGATATCTTTTATTAAAAGAAGGATAATTTAGTCATTTTGTACATAAAAGGGGTATTTTTAAAAATAGACATCCAAAGGGGGCATTTTTGAAAAGGGGTATTGAAAAAAGGGCATTTTTGTGAGTCTCCCATTTAAAAATTACTCAATCATTACATTATAAGTCAACATCATAATTAATTTTAAAGTTGAAATAATCATACTAAGACTAGAATTATATGTTCAAGTTGAAATAATTAAACTAAGGGGGTGTTATTGGTTTGTGATTTAAATAGAGTTTTAATGACTTTAATTGTTATGTAGAATCTGTTGTTATTCAATCAAGATTTTGTTAAACTCTCTTAAAATTTGGTGTTATTAGTTTGTGACTTGTAAAAAATCATTTGAAATCCTAATGAATATGGTGTTATTGGATTAAGAGTTTTATAAAGTCATTAAAAATTTTGTGTTATTCAACTAAAACAAAACAATCTATGATTGTTAATGACTTTAATTATTGTGTTATTGGTTTATGATTTTGTACATTTTTCTTTACAAAATAAAGTCATGGAAAGTATGATTGAAATATTGAGATTGTTTGGGAGACTTTACAAAATTATAGAAAATTAATCAACAAGACTATTGAAAACTCTCTAACAATTCTTCTAAATCTTTCACTTTTTCACTTTCTATGATTTTATTAAAGTCATCAAAACTCCATTTCAATCACAAACCAATAACACCCCTTAAGTCCTTCTTTCAAGTTAAACTAAGATCAGTAATAGAGGGGTTATCTGGATATTGCTGATCTCATGGAATAACTTTTGACATAGTATTCGGAAATTAATAATGGCACATGAAATCGGATGCTTGCTAAATCACCAAGAGACTCATTCGAAAAGCAAAACGTTAGTTTTTCACATGCAAAAAACAACTAAGGGCTTGATTGGTTCTCCCGCTAGTACCCTCTTAGTGGTTGCTAGCGGTCGGTTGCGGTTGTTAGCGGTTGGTACCAATCATAGAAGCCGCTCCATACCGCTTCAAACCGCTCGAAATCGCTAAATTTCAAAAGCTCCTTCCCGCAAGCGTTTGCGGTTGCGGGCGGTAGCGGTTGGATTTTAAAAAAAAAAAAAAAAAACAAACAAACAAACCTTTACTTATAATTATTATAAAATATATTTATCATATATGTATCTTTCATCTTTGTATCACGTTCTCATCATAAACCCTAATCAATATTCTAAAATTTTATTTTCTCAATGTCTTCCACCCAAACTGATGAAAATCAAGAACCAAACGTAAGTATCATATATCATTTTATTCATTCATCACCTCATGTGTAACTCTTTGAATATTTTTCTTAGCATCTTTTTTTTCTTTTCATTATGTATTGCTTTGCTTTTTGATTGAATATATGTTTCGATTTATTTTCTCGAATAGAAAATCACTTGCTTTTTGATTGAATTCAACGTTATTTACAGTTTGCCTCATTACTTGATGCAATTTTTGGTGTTAACCCAGTATAAAATACTATCTTATTACAAAATTTCTTTATTTTTGAATAACTATTTAGTACTTTATTTATGGTTTCAATTATTAAGCATGTTCAATTTTTCTAATATTATCATAATAATATATTAGTATTTTTATTTCTTTTTTTGTAATATTTTTTTTATTTTTTTGGTCATTTTTTTATTTAACTGCTACTGCAACCGCTGATTTACCAGTCATAAAACTCCCGAAAACGCATCCATTTTCAAACGCTAAACCAGTCGTTCAAAACGCTTGGTAACGCTTGAAACCGCAACCGCAACCGCAACCGCTGCGTTTAAACCAGTCAGACCCTAAAATCAAGCATCTCATAACCTGTTGTTTCGGGTTTGGAGGGATTACCGATTTTGTCCAGAACCTCCTGGTATTAAAAAAAAAAAAAACAATTAAAATCAAATTAAAAGAACAAAACAAAAAGCCCAATAGAAATGGCCAATAATTAAAGGCAAAGGCCCAAACTCATCATAAAACAGCTAAAACACTAAACCGGAATTTTATCAGAACCCCGAAATAATCATGGTTAAGGCTTAACCACGGTATAAGCACCATGGATGGCGAGGTTATGACGTAAGCAGAGTCATCAGAAGCAAGAAACAGAGTATTAAGGATATCAATCATATCATGATTGATTCGGTCAACTCGTGATTACGCACATCATGGAGACAATTATGTTAAGTTGTATATATTGTCTTTAATTCTCTTTGTATACCCTAGCTGCTACTCCTTGTATAAATACTCATTGTCTCTGAACATAATAAACATCAATTCTACAAACATCTTTATGGTATCAGAGCTTTGATCCATAAACCTACAAAATTTTCTTTTATCTCTTTTACATACTAAACTCGATTCTTTTCTCTCAAAATCAATGGCTGCTCCCAATGTAGAAATCGTTCTCAACAACAAGACCCTTTTCAATGTAACATGAGCAATGTTACCAAGTTGACGAACACCAACTACCTAATGTGGAGTCGACAGATCCACGCTCTCTTTGATGGCTATGAGTTAGCCGGATTTCTTGATGGATCCAACACCATGCCTGCTCCGACCATCACCACCAATGAAGTCGTCACTGTCAATCCCGACTACACGTATTGGAGAAGACAGGACAAGCTAATCTATAGTGCCGTTCTCGGAGCTATATCCATGTCTGTTCAACCCGTGGTCTCTCGTGCCACCACTGCTGCCCAAATCTGGGAAACTCTCCGCAACACCTATGCAAACCCAAGCTATGGTCACGTCTCTCAACTCCGAACACAATTGAAGCAATGGAGGAAAGGTACCAAATCGATTGATGAATATATGCAAGGATTCATCACCAGGTTCGATCAACTTGCGCTTCTTGGAAAATCAATGGAACATGAAGAGCAAGTGGAGCGTGTCTTGGAGAACTTACCAGAAGAGTACAAGCCGGTGATAGATCAGATTGCAGCAAAAGATACTCCTCCATCTCTCACTGAGATTCATGAGAGGCTGATAAATCATGAAGGCAAATTACTTGCCTTAAACTCCGAGGTCGTAGCTCCGGTTTCTGCCAATGTCGTGTCCCACCGCAACAACAACAACAACAACAATCGCAATTCGCAGACCCGTTTTGACAATTCCCGCAACAATAACAATCGATCCCAGCCATGGCAGCAATCCTCCTCAACGTACCGTCAACCCAAACCATATTTGGGTCGCTGCCAAATCTGTGGAGTCCAAGGGCATAGTGCCAAGCGTTGTTCTCAGCTCCAGCAGTTTTCATCCACGTCAAATCAGACGCAATCGTCTCCGTTTACTCCCTGGCAGCCCCGAGCGAATCTTGCAGTTGGTTCTCCATACTCTGCCAACAATTGGCTTCTTGACAGTGGCGCCACCCATCACATTACGTCAGACTTGAACAACCTCGCACTCCACCAGCCCTACAATGGCACCGATGACGTGATGATTGCAGATGGATCCACCATCCCAATTACACATACTGGTTCCACTTCTCTATCCACAAACTCTCGTCCTTTAAATCTACAAAAAGTTTTATATGTACCTAACATACACAAGAATCTCATTTCGGTGTATCGCTTATGCAATGCTAATCGTGTCTCTGTGGAATTCTTTCCTGCATCGTTTCAGGTGAAGGATCTCAGCACGGGGGTCCCATTACTCCGAGGACAAACTAAGGATGAGTTGTATGAGTGGCCTATTACATCGACTCAAGCAGTGGCTCTACTTGCGTCTCCATGTTCTAAGGCTACTAATTCCGATTGGCACTCTCGTTTAGGCCACCCATCATCTGCAATTTTAAACACTATCATTTCAAATTTTTCACTTCCTGTTTTAAATCCTTCTCAAAAGCTTTTGTCTTGTTCGGATTGCTTGATTAATAAGAGTCACAAAGTTCCTTTTTCACATTCAACAATCATCTCTTCTCGTCCTCTTGAATATATCTATTCCGATGTGTGGAGCTCACCTATAATCTCTCTTGATAATTTCCGCTACTATCTTTTATTTGTTGATCATTTCACTCGGTATGCTTGGTTATATCCTTTGAAACAGAAATCAAATGTCAAAGATACGTTCATAGTTTTCAAGAGTCTCGTTGAGAATCGTTTTCAAGCAAAAATCGGTACACTTTATTCAGATAATGGGGGCGAGTATATAGCTTTACGGGATTATCTTTCGAAGAATGGAATCACGCATCTCACATCCCCGCCTCACACTCCTGAACATAATGGGATCTCTGAAAGGAAGCATCGACATATCGTTGAGATGGGTCTTACATTAATGTCTCGCGCCTCCGTTCCAAAGACGTATTGGCCCTATGCTTTTGCAGTTGCAGTTTATCTTATTAATCGGCTTCCAACGCCTCTCCTTAATTTGCAGTCTCCGTATCAAAAGATGTTTGGTACGCCTCCCAACTATGACAAGCTTCGCGTGTTCGGTTGTTCGTGTTATCCCTGGTTACGACCCTATAATCGCCACAAATTAGAGGATCGCTCGCTTCGCTGTGTTTTCTTAGGCTACTCAAACACTCAGAGTGCCTATTATTGTCTTCATCTACCTACTGGACGCCTCTACACCTCACGACATGTTCAGTTTGATGAACACACTTTTCCGTTCTCTTTGACTTCACCGGAAAATTCACGGGTTCAAGAACAGAACATGGCTACTATGACAAACGGTTCCACTCATACAACTCTCCCTATCTCTCCTCCGATTAGACCATCCGCTCCCCCGTGCTCAGGTCCTCACCGTGACACTTCAACACCGCCGCCTTCGCAGTCTCCGACATCGCATCACTCTCAGGTATCACCTCTGAATTTTAATTCTTCTTCTTCAACTTCTTCTCCTTCCCCGTCTGAGCCCACTGCTCCTACTGAAAATGGGCTGCAACCCACAGCCCAGCATTCACCTCCACAAAATAGCTCACCTACGATCCACAAAAATCCAAATAATCAAAATAGCCCACAAACACAAAACTCGGCCCAATTGACACCATCGTCCCAAACATCAACTTCTTCTCAAAACACGACCTCCACTGTGTCTCCAACATCATCACCGTCACCACCACTAAATCTAGTACCTCCATCACCAGAACAAGCCGTTGCACCTGTTCCTGTCAATAATCATCCGATGTCCACTCGGGCTAAGTCAGGCATCTCCAAACCGAACCAAAAATATCTCCTCGCCACGTTACTTGCTTCTGGACCGGATCCCGAACCCCGCACAGCAATTCAAGCATTGAAGGACTAACGGTGGAGAAACGCAATGGGCTCGGAAATCAATGCTCAAATTGGAAATCACACTTGGGATCTTGTTCCTCCGCCTCATCCATCAGTCACGATCGTTGGTTGTCGGTGGATATTCACGAAGAAATATAATCCGGATGGATCGATCAATCGTTTCAAAGCCCGACTTGTTGCCAAGGGATACAATCAGAAACCCGGTCTAGATTATGCAGAGACTTTTAGTCCCGTCATCAAATCTACGACCATCCGTCTAATCCTTGGTGTGGCTGTTGATCGTTCTTGGCCAATTAGACAGTTGGATGTTAACAACGCATTTCTTCAAGGCACGCTGACGGAGGAAGTTTATATGTCTCAACCACCTGGGTTTGTAGACAAGGATAGACCAAACTATGTGTGTCGTCTAAGGAAAGCTCTTTACGGACTTAAACAAGCACCTCGGGCATGGTACATTGAATTACGAAATTATCTTCTACAAGTTGGTTTTGTTAATTCTGTTTCAGACACGTCCTTATTCATCTTGCGAAGTGGACAGTCTATTGTTTATATGCTCGTCTATGTAGACGATATTTTGGTTACAGGAAATGATGCGGTTTTGTTGCAGCATACACTAGATGCTTTGGCTACACGTTTCTCCGTTAAAGATCATGAAGATTTGCATTATTTCCTTGGCATAGAAGCAAAGCGCGTTCCCACGGGTCTTCACTTATGTCAACGGAAGTACATACTTGATCTACTAGCCCGCACAAACATGCTCTCTACGAAGCCGGTCACAACGCCAATGGCAGCATCTCCTAAGCTCACGCTTCACTCCGGCACACGTCTATCAGATCCAACAGAATATAGAAGCATTGTTGGGAGTCTTCAATACCTTGCGTTCACTAGACCAGATCTCTCCTATGCTGTAAATCGTCTCTCCCAATACATGCATATACCAACAACGGATCACTGGCAAGCCGTCAAAAGAGTGCTTCGATACTTGGCAGGAACAACGACACATGGAATTTTTCTTCGCAAAGGCAACACACTATCACTACATGCTTATTCGGATGCAGATTGGGCTGGTGACACGGATGACTATGTCTCCACGAATGGTTACATTGTTTATCTCGGCAAACATCCAATCTCATGGTCTTCTAAAAAGCAAAACGGTGTCACACGCTCATCAACGGAGTCGGAGTACAGGTCAGTTGCAAACGCGTCTTCAGAGTTAATGTGGATTTGCTCACTTCTTACGGAACTTGGTATTACGCTTTCAAAAGCACCTGTCATTTATTGTGACAATGTCGGTGCAACGTATCTTTGTGCGAACCCGGTTTTCCATTCAAGGATGAAACACATTGCATTAGACTATCACTTTATCAGGAATCAAGTCCAATCCGGTGCACTTCGGGTCGTTCACGTTTCAACTCATGACCAACTTGCAGACACCCTAACCAAACCACTTTCCCGGGCTGCTTTCACGAACTTCTCCGACAAGATTGGAGTTGTACGAGCACCTCCATCTTGAGGGAGCGTATTAAGGATATCAATCATATCATGATTGATTCGGTCAACTCGTGATTACGCACATCATGGAGACAATTATGTTAAGTTGTATATATTGTCTTTAATTCTCTTTGTATACCCTAGCTGCTACTCCTTGTATAAATACTCATTGTCTCTGAACATAATAAACATCAATTCTACAAACATTTTTACAGAGCAGCTTCCGTCACGTGTCCAGCCTTCAGCACAATGCCCTTGAAATTCGATTGTGAGCTGAAGAATAATGTCTCCATCGTGTTTGTACTGTACAATGTACATGGCCAATTGGCACCATTTCAAATTCAATAATGATTGCCAAAATACTACTTTATTGACAAAATTGCCCCCAACTATGGTTTTAGTTTGAACATTACAGAGAAAACACAAAACATGCCTACATAGTATGTTAACCAACCGTGGAATAAGCCTGTAGTTTCATGTGTTAATCAAACTCATAGTCATACAGAGCGACGGATGGCCTTTTTAATACCATTTTTTGTTGGTAATTAACAACGACGAATATTATTGAAGATCTTATTACTAAAACATGGTTTTAAACCCAAAAAAAAAAAAAACATTGTTCTAGGCCTTGTTTTCGTAGGAAACAAAAAATTTGGATACACCACATTCACTTGGAAGAACCATAAGAAAAAATATTTAAATAGAATGTAAACAAGATTAAACCAAAAGGAACCAATCAATGTACAAAACTTTTCTGGCAGCTCTCTTCTCCCCTATGATCTACATTTATTTCTGGGCAAACCCAACACTAGACACCAAATATACAAAACTCCAACTTTTCAAACTGCAAAAAACACAAATGAACAATCCAAATGATATCCTCTTCGCCCAGAAACAAACGTTGAATCTCCGTGGGAGCTAGTCTCAGTTTCTCGTGTTAGATACATCAGCTTCAATATGTCAAAAAATCTCCCCCAAGAAGAATTCTTGGGAAGTCTTCTCTGTCTCTCTCTCTCTCTCTCACTCTCGCTCTGTTTGGATGCGGATGTGGCCAAAGAATTGAAAGAATTAGCAACACATGTAAATAAAAGAATGCATCAGAAGATATCCAGTAAAAGAATGTGTCAGGTGGCTGATGCTGTTGTTTTGTTCTTCCGGCACATGCAGTCAGGGCAAGGGAATATGTAAATGGAGTCACTTGATCGTTTCAGCTCAAACCCCTTGGAGTCACTATGGGACCTCATGCTTAGCATTTGCCGTTTAAAACTTTTCCATCTGCCGGTAATATCAGAAACATCCATTGAGGGACCAACCAGATACTATTAACCATAAAGCATGTTTGTAGGTGGAAGAGGTGAGAGTCGTTACCCCAACTTGGGATTGTCAAAGAGTACGGCTAACTTTCGCTTGTCTGGCCGAATCGTCTTTGAATGTCCTCCAAACAAATACCTCCTATGCCCCATGAGGAAATGAGGGAAGTTTCCACCTTGTGTTGTCACAAATACCTCACTGTGGAGACACACCGTGTAATCTACTGCAGCCATTCTCGAGGAGAAGTTCTGAACACAGACACATAAGTTTACAAGTCAGAAAAGACTTATCCTGGATGAGCAAACATTTGAAAACCATAGAAACCTTAAAAGGAGCCAGTTCTTCCTCAGAAGCAAGCATCTCCTTCGTCTGTAGATTAGGGAACATCTCGAGTAGTGGAGCCATAGTTCTATTTGCGCTATATATCGGGCCAGCGGCAAGGTATATATATGTACTTTTGTTGAAGCCCATTCCTCTAAGCATCAAACCAACCTGATAGGTGTAGAAGAGCAAAAATTGAACCGACATCAGCAAGTTACTTTACTCACATCATTGCTCACAAGGGTTAGCACTTTCCACAACTACTCTGATTATTCCACTGCAGTGTCCATGGATGAATATAATACAACAATATTCTCGTAATACTAACAGTTAATATAGACCATAATGGTGGATAGGTAGAGCAGTATCCAGATTCAAAAGAATTTATGCTTACCTCTAAAGGAGTTAAAGGGCATTTCCCATTGAGCCTGTTAGCTCCTGGTCGTATCACACGGCCCGGTTTTGTGAACTTCCCTTTCCATCCTCGTTCTCTCGCAGCAATCATGTCTTGTTTTTCTTGGTCTCCACCATCAAATACACAACAAGAGAACGCGACCATATCCTGCAACATATAGTGTATTATATCTCTCACCTTAGACACAGATCTGTTTTCAGAATAAGACAAGTGGAAAATTCGTGAAGTGTTTCTCCTTTACAGGTAACAAACCTCTTCAAAACGAAGATGCACGGAAACATATTTCCCGGCGTTGTTTGCACTAAGCTCCTTCATTTTGTTCACCAATGTTTCACCTTGGGTCAGTATGGGTTTTGAAAATCGCAAGGCTACATTATTCGCCAAACATCTAAATCTCTGGACAGCTCGAGGAGCATCAAACGAAAGTCTATTTGCAAATGGGGAAATTCTTATAACCCTGTGCCGTTAATAGACAACAAATAATTCAAAACCCGTGTACTATAACAGATAAAAAATCCTTACACAAAAACAAGACAGCTTATTATGGAAACTAACTTTTACAGTATTAGTTAATAAAAAAGTGTGACTCACTTTTCTTCAAGCAGCTTTGGCAGGACTGAGTCCCGGTAATAGGAGGTGGGTGCCCATGCTTTAACTCTGAAGTTGTAGACATTTGTCAAGTTATAGTCAAAACGCTCCATTAAGTATTCAGGAACTGTATCGACCACCCGCACATCATTTGCTAAGGTATCAACAAAGTATTCCTCATCATAGATGTCCCCAAATTTGCTGCAAGGAAAACTCTCTGTCAGCATGTAGTTGAAACAGGGGTGGCTTTGCTAAAAATATACAACACCAGGAGAAGATAAGAAAACAAATATCCGAAACCTCGGATCTTTCCATATGCTGTGATAGTGAAAGTTGGGAATTACAAGGGTCGCATTAAGGTAGCCTGCCACAGCAACCGCATTGCATATCTAAGCAAAACATGGCAAAGACTAGTCAACAGCTTCACCTTAGACAAGGTTGCCAGACACAAGCAAGAAAGGCCTGGTTGAAAAAAATCAATTTGATGTAAAAAGAACCTACCGAAGTCCGTTGCTGATTCAAGCCTCCATTTGCCTCAATGAATATGAAACCATTAGACTCAGGTAAAACTACAATTGTCAACACACAAAACAAAAAGAAAACCTCATTGATTCAACAATGCTGTAACTTATATTGCATAGGACAAGCACACTAATGAAGAAACTACGAGAACTATGTAATACCTCCAGTAGATTTGTTCACACATGGCTTCCATTCTACACCTTTATAGGAACGCTTCCAAATTGTTGATATCTAAAATGAATACAATTGCATTGACGATACATGAGAAAGGAGAACAAGTAAACAACAAGTATCTTATACAAGCAAAGTAGGGACAATAATGATAAACAAAATTATGCATTCTCCTAAACATCGAGAGCTGAAATTATCTTTAGACAAAACAATGGCCACATTCTCCAAAAGATATCACAATAAGCGGTGGGATAAAACGGAGGCAAACCTCACCGCATCAGCCGTGGTATTATCGGCCTCAATCTCGCCGCGAAGCCTAGCGTAAACCTGAGGGCTCCTATAGACAGATCCCGGAGCAGGACGGCGGTGGATAATGGGAGAGGCATCAAACGACGCCGCGTGTAGGTGAAAAAGCATACAGGAGACGTAGATGAGAGGAGCGAATAAGAGAATTCCCTGACGCCGGAGAAGAACCGATAAAAGGATCCATGAGAGACGGTGAGCGACGGTCCGACTTTGCTGTTGTACGGAAGCGGAGGATTTAGACCGGCTACGGCAGAGATGAGGAGACGTCGGCGGAGAAGGGGTAGTGTGATCGCTTCCCGGAAGCCGATTTTGAATCGACAGATCTCTCTCCACCTGGGAAATCATTGTTTCCCTTCTCTCTCTCTCCCTCTCCTTCGTCAATGCTCTACGCCACTAACGATATAATGCATTGCTTGGAACAATGGCAGGTGGCAAACGCTGATTGAACGGATTTATCCCGGCGGCGAAACTGTGAGTGAAGTAAGAGAGAGAGAGACTTTTATTTATGTTTATGTATGCGCTCGTGCGGTGGAAGCGTGACCGATTGATCACATGCACTTAGTATTTATTTGGCTTCTTATGTGTTTTTAGTTCTTTAGTCTTTTTCTTTCTTCAATTCTTTGATTTGCGTTTAGTGGAAAACTTTTGTTAATGTGAGAATTCAATGCATCTGTTTCTGTTTATGGTCTAATTTGTAATTGAAGAGAGAGATGTCCAAATATAGCAATTTGTTGATATACACATTTTTCAATTTTTGGTTAGAAAGATGGAATATTTGAAATCAACCAACCTATACTAAAATTGAAGTTGCGACAAGACAATACTAAAGTTGTATTAACATCTAAACGAGTAGTTACCACTTACAAACCTAGATTAGAATATTCCAACCACTGTGCAAAGGAACTCAGAAGACACCAATTTTCAGAATGCCAAGACATGGTCCTGTGTTAAGATGCCGATGCTATAGAAGAAATCATGCGGTCAAATTAGCTTGTTTCTCTAGTTATAGCTTGAGCAAGAATAAGTAAAAGTCAACTAAGCTATCGTTTACATTGGCTATTGAAGTTGCTGCCTAAACGTAGACGAAAAGCATCAACAGATTATGAAAAAACACAAAATATTAGAATCAGAAGATGCAACACTTGGGTTACCCATATGATTGATGAACAATTCAAAGACAATTCTTAAAGATAAATTCAATGATAAACGACAAAGTCCAACCACATCTTCAAGATAAACTAACTTATAAAATAACTCCTCCAGACATAACACAAACGCACGCCAACATGAACCTTCGTGGTTGAGTTAGCCAACTTTAGCCTTTTTAATCCTCGTGCAATGTCCCCAAGACGTCCTCATCCCGGAACAGATGGTACCTGCATCCATCACACAAAACATAAGTTCCTCAATTGGGTCATATCCTACATATATGTAAATGTGGTGTTGAAATTGGCATTCTTAACACAATTGATATAGAGTTTTAACGAGCTCTGTTACTGAATTTCCAATTATCTTCACACACAATCTTACAGGTACTTCCCTTAATCCCCCTAATCTAATTAACTGATAATGATTCCTGAATAAGATTATCTAAACATCAGGGTTCAATTAGATCAAATCAATAGTCTCATGAATTTTATCATAATACTAAGGCAATAAGAAAGAATCGGGTTTAACTTACTCGTTCTCGCCGAGCTTGACCTGGGTACCACCGTACTCTGGAAGAAGAACAGTGTCGCCTTCCTTCACAGAGACCGGAATCAATTTCCCGTCTTTATCCCTTGATCCAGGTCCAACAGCTATCACCTTGCCGGAGTTCAGCTGCAATCACCCAAGAAATGTTCATCGAGTTCAGATCTTTGAGGCGGAAATCACTAGAATCAAATCGTGAAATCAAAGCTCTTTTACCTTGGAGGATTTCTCAGGGAGGAGGATGCCGCTTTCGGTTTTTGCAGGCTGGATGACTCTCTGCACCAAGATGCGGTTGAACGTTGGGATGAGACGCTTCATCATTTCTCAATTCTTCTTCTCTCGGATAATGAATCGGGATTTTCTAGGGTTTCTGAGGTTTTAATTGGGGAGAGACACAGAAGAAGAGGGAAGAAGATTCTAGATCGTAGGGTTTAGCGTGGCGGAAAAGGCCAAGGGTTTTGGGTGTAATTCGCACTTATTTGGGCCTATAATATCCTGATATCTCTTTAATGGGCCTGACCCATTTGTACACGGAAACATAGAGCTCTCTGTGTGTTGCGTATATTGTGGAGCTCCACTTTGCTAAGTTTTGGATGCATTGAATTACTTTTAACAGAAATCATAGAACAGAAGACCTCTAAGAACATGATGAAGAATCCCATTGATATTTTGTTTACATCACATCAGGAACAAGATGTTTCTCTTTTGAAGATTCTCCCTGGATGAGGTGGGGTAGGGAAGTTCTTTACATCGCTGCAGTGGTGACATGGAATTTTGGTTTACGACCTTAGTTTATTCTTTCAGACGATTAACGATAGAGTTGCTTGTTCACCTAGCAAGTGGTGGAAGTATTATCACATGGGAAATGGGATACATCATGGGAAATAAGGTGCTCAAATGATATAACAACGTTGTGCCAATCTGCTTTTGCGGACATTTTATGATTTATACACCACACATGCTCTTATTTTTCTTAATACAAACTGAATAGTCTATCTCCCGATTTATATCATCGCCTTACAAATGTTCCAGATACCCGGGTTCGCCTTTGCTATAACAAGATTGGATACAAAGCTAAGAAAATTGAGTTGACGCCACTAGCCACTTCCATCGAGTTGGCCTTGAGAAAGAAGGTGAGCCATGTATTGCTGCATTCACAATCAAAAGAGCTCAACACATAGTTTTGTATTTCCAAGAGTTCTAACCCCACATGATTCGACAAACATTTCTATGGTGAAATTGATCTTACTAGTATGGCACTACAAAGTATGTATGTACCATCTAAATCCTAGACTAACTAGTATTTATGGAAATTGAACTTCAACACAGTATCATCCTTATGTTAAGCAAAATTAAGACCATTTAAGAGAGATTGAAGAAACTTACGGAGTGATAAACGTATGGAGATTTTCCCTGGCGCTCAAAATGCTTAGCCATTATGCAGAACTCGACAGGACCCCAATCCTCAGATTCATAGCAATTCCCAAGCGCCGCTTTGTACAGCTTTACACCAAAAAAAAAAAAAAAACATTTCATCAAAAACTTCCACACAAAAATATCTAATCACAGAGAACAAATCATCTCTAAACGACAAGTCAAATGTCTCAGGGAGAGACAAGGGATACAACCTTTGCCGTGTCGGTTAGAAGTTCAGTGCCGGCAGGATAAGATGCATAAAACTGGTCGCCCCTGGAATATCCTGCTCTTGTTCTGCAAACATCCGAATCCGTATATTAAAATCAAACAAGAAGGAAAGAACAACTAAATGAAGCAAACTGAGATCGGAGGATAAACTTCTGAAGACAATTACGTGTTGTTCGTATAGAAGAATGTGAGGGCAGCAGTGAAGCAGTAGAATCCGGCGTAAGAGACAAAACGCCGTAGCTTCTGGATCTTTAAAACCTCTGCACAAACATCCAAGACCGTCATCTTCACCCTCGGAAATTCAACTCACTCTAACGGTGTTAGAAAAGCTATGGAAGTTCTTTCAGGTATTATGTCGAACACCTTGTGATCACTTTACCAAAAAAGAACCTCACTCGAGATTCGCAAATTGGCGAAGCAAATGGTAAACATCAATCAGGCTCTTATTGTCCAACATATTATGGGCCTTGCGGAGCTTTTTCATTTTGGGCCATTAAATTTAGAATTATTTTTTTTTTACAGATTACGAAAAGCATCTTTGACAAGAAAATAAAAAAATTAAACAAGTCAGTTAAAATTTATTAACCACGTGTTGACAGAAAAAACATAAAAAAATACATGTTACTAGCCACGTTACAAGACAAAACAAAACACAAAATAATTCAAAGGGATCTTTATGTAAAGGCACTACGAGCTAGTGGCGATAATGGAGCACGGCCCTACATTCTTCTTCTTGCTTTCCACTCTCGTCCTCGCCGTTTCCGTTAAGTCTCCTCCGCCTCCTCTATTTCCCGATGAAGCTCTCCCCACTAAATCCGGATACCTTCCGGTTAAACCAGCCTCAGGCTCCTCCATGTTTTATGCCTTCTACGAAGCCCAAGAGCCGACCACACTTCTCCCCGACACTCCGCTCCTCGTTTGGCTCCAAGGTGGGCCAGGCTGCTCTTCAATGATTGGCAACTTCTATGAGCTCGGTCCTTGGCGCGTTATGTCAAGCGCCACTGAGCTTGAGCGCAACCCAGGCGCTTGGAACCGTCTCTTTGGGCTACTCTTCGTGGATAACCCTATAGGAGTCGGATTCAGCATCGCCTCCTCTAAACAAGACATACCCACAAATCAGAGACAGGTCGCTGAGCATCTTTACGCCGCTCTTGTGGAGTTCCTTGAGCAAAACCCAGGCTTCGAAAACCGACCGGTTTACTTCACTGGCGAGAGCTACGCTGGTAAGTACGTCCCGGCCATTGGATACTATATCCTTAGAGAGAAACCCAATGGGAAAGTTAATCTAAAGGGCCTAGCCATTGGAAACGGGCTGACCGATCCCGTGACCCAGGTCCAAACCCATGCGGTCAACGTCTACTACTCGGGTCTGGTCAACGCAAAACAGAGAGTTGAAGTGGAGAAAGCGCAGGAGATAGCCGTAGCTCTCGTGAAGTCACAGAAATGGCGTGAAGCAGCAGACGCGAGGACCGAGCTGTTGACGCTACTAAGTAACATGACAGGACTCGCGACGCTCTACAACACGGCACGTTCGATTCCATACAGAACAGACCTCGTGTTGGACCTTCTAAACCGGAGAGAGGCTAAACGAGTTTTGGGAGTGAGCGAAACGATGCGTTTTGAGGAATGTAGTGATGAAGTAGAAGATGTGTTGCGAGAAGATGTGATGAAGAGTGTAAAGTTCATGGTGGAGTACGCATTGGAGAGGACTCAAGTGTTGCTGTACCAAGGAATGCTTGATTTAAGAGACGGCGTCGTTTCGACGGAGGAGTGGGTGAAGACTATGAACTGGTCGGTGTTGGGGATGTTCTCGACGGCGGAGAGGAGGGTGTGGAAGGATGAAGACGGTGCGGTCGTTGGGTATGTTCAAAGATGGGGGAATTTGTGCCACGTGGCGGTTTCAGGAGCTGGACATTTTGTTCCGACAGATAAAGCTGTTAATTCAAGGGATATGATAGAAGGCTGGGTTTTGGGGAAAGGATTGTTCGGTGGTAATGAAGATATGAAGCAGACAATTTCGTCGAGCTTTTACAATTCAATCTAGATAAAGGTTGTGTGTACTTGTACCAGTTCTGTGTTAGTCAAAATAAGATTCAGATTCTAAAATTGTACTAGTTCTGGATTTAGATTGTACGTCATGTTCTCAAATTCAGTCCGGTACGAATTGGTAACTTTTATCTCCGGGGTATTATCATTAGGCTGATCTCTGAAGTCTGAAACTTTCTCAACAAAAATGTAGCACTGACTCAGATTTAGCTGTTTTCGTAAAAATAAGAAGCTTTGAAAGTATAAAAATTAATGAGTTTTATAAACATGTAATGGCGATTGGAGGCGGGATTGTGATTGAGATTCAAAGTGATTGAGTAGAAAAACTACACAAACACAGTGAAAGCACAGAGAAACCCGTACTATGAAGCCATTTTTGCTTTAGGGAAGAAGAGGGAGGGCACCCCGTAGAAAACCTACAGGTATTTCAGAGCTATTTATCAAATCTCTCCCCTGTTTTTTTGCCTCTTTCCCAATCCATGTTTCTATGAAAAACAGAAAGAAAAATAATAGTGATCATGAAAAATAAATCTTTAGCCAGCCTAATCGTTTAGAGAATAAGAACAATCAAAACGAAAACTGAAACAAAATTCATCGCAACTCTAATGACGGCTTCTTCTTGTGAAACTTGCAGATTTATAGTGCGAAATTAGGAGATTTAGGGCTCACGATACATTTTAGTTGGGCCGAATTTATGGTTCACAGTTCGTAACTATTAAGCCCATTGGGCTATTGTGATAATCCGTGTCCATCGTTTGACCTACTACAGTTTATTATGCTTATATCATCACCATTGTTAGAACGAAACGAACGAACAAACAAACAAACCAAAAACTTGACATCACTACACCATTATTTCTTAAATTAATGTTATAGTAGAAGTATGAAAGAACCCCATGATTAATGATAAATTAATCATATGGATCGATTCGTACGTTTTTTGGATGTAAAATAAACATAAACAAAGGAGAGGTCAATGGGACATATAAATTATTGGTTTATAAATTGTGAGGATAGTACATTAATGCGATTGACATTTAATGATATCTTCAATTTAACACCCATCATCTTTTTCATGGGAACTTCAAGTTTAATGTAATCTTTGATTTGGCCGTGTCGACAAATTTGTAAAAGACGTGTAAAGCTGAAATTGAGAAGAAACAAAGGTGAAATTGTAAGGAAACGTGATGGATGGTGACCCCATCGATACTACGATAAGGTAACGCGCTAATCATATTTTATTGCTTAAAGCCAAAGCAACCTTAGCCGTTTTTATTTAATATTTTATCCAAATGATTCCCTTATAAATAAACGCCCAATCACACCACTTGTCTCCTAAGCAACAGAACATGGAAACTATACTGATCATCTCCTCGTCGCCACTCAGGTTCCATCCATTGAGGACATCACAAAAGATCGCCACCGGAACCAAGAGAAGACGAACCACCACCGTGTGTGCCGACTACTACAGAGGAGGAAGAACGGTGGACGAGAACATGGTGGTTCTTAGGAAACGGATCCATGAGATGAAGATGGTTGAACGCAACTATGAACCTCCTTCTCATTGGATGCAATGGGAAAAACGTTTATACTGCGACTACGACGCTACTATATGTGACGCTCTCTCTCTTCTCCAAACTTTTCTTATGAACTCTCGTCCCAGCGTCGCGTTTGGAACGTTGCTTCTTCTGCTCGTCAGCGTTCCCGTCTCCTCTGCCGTTTTAGCGTTTCGCATCCTTGATATAACTCTTTGGCTTTTGGACGCCGCTCACGTAGTATGATCCGTAAATATCTTTGTTCTTTTATCTCGAAACTATCTTTGTTATTCTATCTCGAAATTAAGTATTTATTTTCCAAAACTAAAAAGGAAATATTTATTTTCAACATTCATAGAGAAATCCTAGGATATAATCAGGATTTTATTTAAAGAATCCTTATTTCATCTGGTTTGGGAAAACAAAAATAGAAGAATCCTTGTTTCATATGATTTAATTAGGTCGAAAACAAAGTAATCAGTGTATATATAAACTCAATGGAGAGTCATCAAAGAGTACGTAGCAAATAAAAAAGAGACGAGACAATTCAATGGAAGTAACGTTACCACATGATGTGGTAGAAGATATTCTTGAACGACTTCCCGTAGAAACACTCGTTATATTTAGACGCGTTTGTAGCACACGGAGATCCACTATCGAGTCACAACGTTTCAAGGAGAGACATATATATGATTCGTGGACAGTTACTCGAAGATCCCGATATCCTCCTTCGCGGGCGTTGGGATTCTCGCAATCTACCCAACAATGTTTCTCTAATGACATTGACGTTTGACTCATCAACTACGCCGGTTTCTTTCAAGACTCAAACTATACCGGGAAGAGCCAACTTTTTTAAGTCACTCAAAGTTGCGATGGTCTCGTGTGCATATACGATCTTGAGAGTTTGATGTGTGTGATGAATCCGGCGACAAGATGGCAGAGAAGTCTTCCACAGCCAGAAGTGCTTCAACAATATCAATCGTTTGATAGTTTGATACACAAATTCCCTTCGCTTGGGTTTGGTAAAGACAATATCAAAGGCATATACAAGATGTTATGTCTATATAAGTTCTACAATTCAAACTACACAACATGCGAGCTTTTCTGTTTTGCCACCAATACTTGGAAACACATGAAGATCATTCCTCCTTGTCAAATACTATCTTCCGAGAGGCCAGTCTATGTAGACGGATTACTTTACTGGTTAATCTACGGAAATCAAGAGAGGGATACGGTAGTGGACATACTATGTTTTGATCTTCACACGGAAATATTTAGTGTCATGTCATATAGTCCGGTTGGCAAAACACTTCATCCATTGGTCGAGATGAGCAGTCTCGATAACCGGCTCTGCCTGTCCGTGCAGACGTTGACAGGGCTAGATGTATGGTTGGCAACAAACCATATATGGAAAAAAGCATATATAATCGATAATCCTTTAGGCCCCTGGTTGTGTACAAATCTGGTCGATGGCTCCAGTAAGCGTTTTGGGAAAGAAGAAGAAGAAGAGGTTACTGATTTATGATTCGAACATGGAGGCTACTGGTTTAGTGTTATATGATATGAGTCAATCAGAAAGAACGTTTCCTAATTTTTGTTTATCATTCCAAAACGGAGAGACACCCACTACTTATTTCCCAAGCTTAATCACTATTTAAATTTTGACATAGTTAATGAAATTGTGACGTTAGACCTGCTTTTGTATTTTTGATGATCATCTATTAGTTGAGTTATTGCCTTATTGGATCTTTTTCCGTTCCATCATCAAGGATTTCTCAAAAAAAAACAAAAAAAACAATCTGGTTCTTTGTGATTCTGTTGTTGTCCGTGTGTGGTTCTGACTTCTGACTACAATGTCAGTGTTTTGGTTTTCGTATGAACAAACTACTTCCACAAAGAAACCCAACCAAAACCAATTAAGAAATGTTTTTAAACGGCAAACAGACTAAAAAGCCGTTGATATAGATGCTACAGATGAAGATGGTAACAATAATGAAAGGCGAGAGATTCGATAAGACTCCACAAAGGAGCTATTCTGGTTTGACATAAAGATATAGAAGGGTGTATTGAATATTCCAAAAATTCGAAGAGAAGAATCTATACAATCTGTAAGAGGAGAAGAGAGAAAAGAGACCTGAAGCAGGCGACTTTGGCATCTCAACCTCAACGTCTTTGTATCTGTTGTCTGTAAGTTACAACAAAAACAAAGCTCAGTTTCAGAATGTTAAACCATGTGAGCTTTTTCTTTAAGTTAACTCATCTCTCCTTTTCCCTTTCACTTTCAGTGTTACTGAATGTGTTCATAACCATATAGTTACTATTATATCTCTTTAAATAGTGTGGATTGTGGTAATACTTCCGGTTCTTCTGCTGCGTCCTCCAGTAGCAGGCGAGCGCCCCAAATGCGCAGCTTGCAAGTGCTATGGCCAATGCAGCTCCCACTGGCACAACCAGAGCGTTGGTCGGTACTGCCATCTCTTCTGCAGCTGCAACCACCTCCTCCTTGCTCACACTGTCACCATTTTTTTTGTAAACGGACACCAGTTTCTGTCCATAGTACTTCTTCAAGAATTTGTAGACTTCATCATGATCCCAGTCAATGTTTTTCTCGGTGCTCGAAAGATAACATGACGGGCAAAGCTTCTTTGGTGGCCATATCATCTTTGGGAACTTGGGGTCTCCTGTTCCCAGAGAATCTTCGTCCTTCTTGAGTCTCTCATTGACCTTGTTGTGTGTGCTCCACAGCCACAAGACGATATCACGGGCCTTTTTAAATGGAGTTTTGACGCTGTCAGTGAAACACATAAGCTGTTAGATGTGATAATCGAGCTTGTTAACCAACCCCCGGATATGTCTTTACCTTAAGCACATGTCGTGAAAATGCCGACGGCAATCATCACACATGAAGAAGTTGTTTATGAACTCACAAATGGCCGTGAATGCAAACTGACTTTCTCCATCCTTAATCCTCACTGAAAGCGAATGCATTAAAACCCATAATCCGCAGCTGCAGCCAAAATATTTTGATAAGAGTCCATGAGCTTCTGCTTGAATCATACAAAATATGACAACAGATTAATTTTGCAGAAGACTACCTGAATCCCCTGGTTTCGTTTTTGCTGCCACGGCAAAACCTCTGCCAAAGTATGATTACGTACAGAAAACAGGAGAATCAGATTTCTGTGTTTAAGCACAGGAAAAAAGAAAGTGGTTGGTTGGGCGGCACTCACGTAGTATCCACGCGGAACATCCTTTCCACATATATGGAAGTTTCGTAGGGTATCTTTCCCTCCAGATTCCTGGTCATACGAGCATTCGCCCGACGGGCATAAATCATCAAAATTCACAAGAATTTCAGCGCTTCCCGTACGGCACCTATAGAAATTTTCAGCATCTGATTAGACATGAGAGAAAAGAGTGAGTAGCAAATTGTAAATGGAAATTTGAACATGAGATACTACCTTCTTGAAGGATGATGTGCCACTAAAAGCTGCAGAAACCTAATAAACGAAGCACTGGTTTCAGATGACTTGATTGCCTGTGGCCATGAACACTACCCATAAACAAGGCTGAAAGGGATTTAGTTGCATACAACAATAAAGCAAAAACTCTTCTCTACCTTATGTGACAAAATGATATCAAAAGCTTCTTCAGTTGCCTCCTCAATGTCAAATATGGCCTGAGAAATCTGAGATAAATCAACAACCAGATCTATTTAGTGTGTTGGAATTAAACCAAATGCTTCCACAATAGCAAAGTGGGGGCAGAACACATTCTGAGATACCTGTTCCTGGTCAGATATATTTGTCAAGAGATTTCCAAATTTCTGATCATCTAAGCCGTAAGAGCTGCACAACATCAACAAGAAAACATACTTCAGTATGATGTTACCCAAGTGAATAAGTTACAGGGGTTTCATATTAGCCAACACAGAGACATAGAATTCTGAATTCTAACACAATAGACATGACTTTAACTTAAAATGGTAGACATGAAATTTCAGTGCACACATACCTGCCTATCTGCTTGTTGATCCAGTTCAACAAAAGATCAGCAGTGCGCCATTCATCGACTACGCTTATCTCACTTTTCTCTTGTTTAGGTCCCCAGCTGCCACCAACGAACTTTTTAGGAGGAGCCCAAAAGAGCATTGGATAATGATTGATGGAGAACTTGTCACAAAGCTTTACATTCATCTGCGCTGCCATAAAATTCATAACGAACAATTAGAATGAAATAACTATACACAACCCAATAAGATATAGTTTTCGAGCCCCACTTTCTGACTCACACGATCCACATGAAGTAAGAGAAAAACAAAGAAAGAAAGTTCAAGATACACGTTGTCTCTATAAAGCAGGAAAATGGCGCCAAGTACCTTTATCGCACAATCAACTCTGGTCATCAAAACAACACCAGGATGTACTGCGTCTGCTCCATTGAAGAGCCTTGCAACTTTTTCATAATGTGGCTGCAGATTCACGCATTGAATATAAACAACATTGACAAGAGAAGGCATTGAATAACGAAGGAGAAGACATTGAATGGCGTTGTTACCTTGTAGTTTCTACATGCAGGACACCTAGAGCCAAACAAAATTATGGGTCAATGTCAGTACTACATTCTATTGGATGGTAAAGTTAAGTTATTTCCGTATAAATCTCACGGAATTGGATAAATGTAAAGTCAGATTCGAATATGAAGAACACTTGCAACAAGATCCAGTTCTAAACAAACCAAAAGTTGAATTTTTTGATTCTGATTTTTCACGGGAGAAAGAAAACTGACCAGTGAGCGAAGAACTCTAAAACGGCATATTTGGCGGGTGAATCTTGGAAAACTGAATCAAAGTTGGTAGCGTTTAATTCGAGAGCGTTGTCTTTCTGATCGGAGTTGTTACTGCCGATGTCCCGGAGAATCGAGCGCGATCCCGGTGAAAACGACGCCGCAGCTTCAAGGCTCACCAGACCCACGAACAAAAACAAGTGAATCAACGCCATTAAATCGAATAAAGCATACAAAATTGAAGCTTGATCCGAATGAGAGGGAAGATCTAAGAGCAAAAAGAGCTTCCCTCCTTGTTCCGTTGAGAAGCGAAGGTCTCTGGTGTTTATTACGACGTCGTAACGCTTTGACCGGCGTCGATACTTGTTATCCTCCGACAACTTTCATACTGGGCTTTATTATAACGTTATAGGCCCATTACTAATTTCCATTTGTGTTTGTGTTGGTTTTTCCTTGTTGACCCGCCCAAAAAGAAAGAATTTGAATCTAGATAATGCTAAATTAAATTCTCTCTTGTAGTCAAATAAAACAAAAGTTGGCAATTTTGTTTGGAAATCAGATGAACCGTTTGTTTTATCCAATAGAAAACTTATGGAATTGTCTTATTTGAGATGTTATTGTTTTGTGATTTCAGATTGGATAATACTACAAAAAAACATTTGTTGGTGTTATTATTATTATTTTTTTTTATTTTTTTTGTTGGTGTTATTATTTGTAAATAAAGGTCTTATAACGGAGTGGAAAAAGCGCCGGGGAACGACGTAGCGAGTTAGGTCATGGGACGATTGTTGTCTACGCGCCACCGAGTGAGAAGAAAACAAGAGGTGAGTGAGCAACGGCTGAGTCAGCATAATCCTTGGAAAAAATCGACAAAGTGACTCCAACCACAAGTCAACACCATCTGTCTTAGTCACGAAGAGACACACATATACACCTCACACTCGTACATTTAACAATTTTAACACATAGCTTCTTATATTATTGCCACTTCTCTTGCACTCTTCTTCGTTATCAATTGTTTTTAGTGACCATCTTGGTACGTGGAAAAAATGAATCGATCATGTGCACATCCTCTACCCCTAATAATTTTTTTTTTTTTTTTGAAAAATCCTCTACCTCTAATAATAATATCACTTAAATAAGAATGCAATAACACGGTCCACGTGCATGAATTCATTTTTCTGATATAAATTGCATTCGTCTGACATGTATTTGGTTCCCTGATTTGTTAGAATTGATAATTGAGAACCAAATTAGGATATACTATTCTCAACTCCTGCCTCGATTTACATTGAAGTTTCATTGTAAGCATTACCTGAAAAAAATGAAACAAATTATAAAGTTAGTTATTTGTAAATATTTGTCTGATCTCCACCTTAAATCTTATTTTTTTTTTTTTAATTATTCTGTGGATTAAACACTCAAAAGGATGAAATATTAACAACCATTCTTTATTTTTGGCAAGTATATACTGAGAGAATTTTTCGAAGTCCAATTTAAAGATTCTATTATGCTAAATTTTTCTCACGCAGCAATAGCATTAGTGTCCACCGCTTTTGTTAGATATGCCCTTTAACTATGCGAATTTCCCACTTATTTTTTTTTTTTTGTTTTAAAAATCATAATATAACCCAATAATTTCAATTTAGGACATCATAATATACATAATTTAGCTTCAGTTAATTTTTTAAATTTGATTCAAATTTGTTAGAAAATTACTCAAAGTGGTTTTCTAAATCATCTTACAGACTAAAGGGTTGAATTCAACTAATTTTTTGGGTGTATTTTTTGACAACGAAAAAAAGTGGGGCAAGAAGTAATAAAGCATGGAGTATAAGGGTCCAATTATGCAAACAAAATAAAAAGAGGAAGGAGGTGCTTCAATCATTTTATTAAAGAGTCCCCTTTTATTGACTCTCTCTTTCTCTCTCTCTCTCTCTGCTTGTATGAACCAATAATCTTGTTTCTCTTCATTTGCTTCAATCCTCTTGAAATTCTCAGCTTCCATTCCTGTTTCCTTCTATCCTCGTTACCTTCATTTTTGATTCGCACGCTAATCTTCCTCTGCTTTGCTAGATATTCGGTTGTGGGTTTTCTCTTTGGTCGATTTCTCTGTTCTCAGAATCTCCGATTAAGCTGCTTCGTAATCTCTTGTCTGTATACTCGCGTTTATAAACTTTTCCAGCGTTTATTTAGATAGGTGATTCAAGTACGACTAGTGAGAGGAGTGTTTTTGCTGACGAAAGCGGAAGCTTTTGTTGCCGTTTGATTCCGTTCAATCTGATTTGTGGTGTCTGAGTGAAGAAGAGAGATGTTGGGAGCTGGATTTCAGTTGACTCAGCTTCAGAGAGCTCAAAGCGACGTCTTTTATGGCGGCAGATCGATTCACACTAAGGAACGCGAGAACGGCTCTGCATTGCAGAAACACCATGTTTCTGAGGCTTCTTCAAGTAATGTGGAACGGTTTTTGGAGTCGGTGACACCATCTGTGCCGGCTCACTATTTTTCTAAGGTTTGTTTCAACTTATCAAGTCAATACCTTTTTTAAAAACAATAACTTTAAGTAGCTCTTTCGTCTAATTGATGTGTAGACAACAATAAGGGAAAGGAGAGGCAGTGACATTGAGTCGCAAGTTCCTTACTTTGTTCTTGGGGATGTATGGGAATCGTTTGCAGAGTGGAGTGCTTATGGCATTGGAGTTCCTCTCACTTTGACTAACAATAAAGATCGAGTCTTTCAATATTATGTGCCTTCCCTTTCCGGTATTCAAGTATATGCTGATTTTGATGCTTTAACTTCATCTCTTCAAGCAAGGTAAGAACTGTTCAAGGTTATGTGAAGTGCTTTCAGTCTATAAAGCTTAAGTCTTGTCTTTCTATAAGAAATGTGGGTTGTTCTGTTTATCAATGTGCAGGCGGCAAGGGGAGGAGAGCGAAAGCGATTTCAGGGATTCAAGTAGTGAAGGAAGCAGTAGTGAATCCGAAAGAGGACTTTCTTATCCAAAAGAGCAGATATCTGCTAGAATGGACAAACTCTCGTTAAGAAAGGAGCATCTCGAAGATTCATCTAGTGATGATGGCGAGCCTTTAAGCTCTCAAGGTCGTTTGATATTTGAGTATCTTGAACGTGATCTTCCTTACATCCGTGAACCCTTTGCCGACAAGGTTTGTTTATTTTAACTCTGACATGTATCAAGTTATTAAGGCATTTGCAAAAGTTATTAGAAACCAAAAGGATTCAATAATCTTGGTATGATGTTAAATGTCTCATATTTTGAAATAAATTTTGCATGAGGCTACACGGAAGTTAGGTATTGAAAGATGTATTTATTGATGTTTTGAGCTTCTTTTGTAATTTTTACTGTTATCAGATAAGTTGTGACTTTCAAAAGCAAACAGTTCAAGTAACATCAAAGCTTTATTTATGAAAGTAATGCTATTTAATCAAATGCAACAACTCTTCCGTAGTTGTTCCAAAGCATTTAGGACTATCAACTGACTGTGTAAAGTTCAAATGCTGTCTAGTGACTGATCCAATTCTTGAATTTTAATACGCCGCCAATTCTTAAATAATGCAATTCCAATAGCTCTCTGATACAATGCTACCATTGCAGATGTCTGACCTTGCCTCTAGATTTTCCGAGCTGAATACGCTGAGAAGCTGTGATTTACTACCTTCAAGCTGGTTTTCTGTGGCATGGTATGGGTTCTTTGTGACATGCGTATGTGCTTTGTTCCACATTACCCTATCGTCTCTCTTAGAATCTATTACTCTACTACTTTTGCAGGTACCCAATATACAAGATACCCACAGGACCGACCCTCAAGGATCTGGATGCTTGTTTCTTGACTTATCATTCCCTTCACACACCCTTTCAATGTAAGATTGGTGTTGAGCATTATTTATAGTAAGGGACACTAGTTCATTATTCTAACCATGGCCACATCATCAGAATTTGTATGTTTCAAATGATCCTAGAATAACAGCTTTTTAAGTAAAGATACATTCACTATCTATCTAAATATATCTATCTTCGGCTCTTGTAGGTCCAGGAGTTACAACAGGGTCTATGCATGTGGTGCAGCCAAGGGAAAGTGTTGAGAAGATGGAACTGCCTGTCTTTGGTCTCGCCTCATACAAGTTGAGAGGTTCTGTATGGACAGGCTTCAGGGGCTCTGGACACCAGGTCGCGAACTCCCTCTTCCAAGCCGCAGACAATTGGCTGAGGTTGCGTCAAGTCAACCATCCAGATTTCATCTTCTTCTGCCGCCGGTAATGATATGATTATACTATGATGACGAAAAAGGATATAGGAAGTTATAAAAAAGGAACTCTTTATGATTACTGTCCTGAGGAAACCATACATATAGGATACCGTCAAAAGTTTTCAGTTGGTAGCTTCTGTAAGTGCACGGAATGCTAGTTTTCTTATTATGTGTAACACTGTTTTTGCAATAAAAGCTAATAGTTGAGAAAAAAAGAGGATTCAATGGTCCTATCTGTGGCTTCGGGTTCTAGTAGTTTCCTCTTGATGGCATCGGAGCAAAGACGAGCCATCATATGGTGGAAGGAAAGTAGATCAGACAACCGCTCCGCGGAAAATTTGTCCATTGCTCTCTCTTGCTCCTCTTTCCTTTTCATCCGTTTCATATACACACATGAGTTCCTCACCGTCGCTCCCATCTGCTTCAGCCTATTCTCTTGTTGCTTGCTTAGAACCGTATTTGCCTGCATGATTCATTCACCCATGTCAGAAAATCCAATCATGAATGGCAAAACATAAAGCCTGTATGTATGTATACCAAACGAATCTCTAACCTCTAGAAACTCGGCTTGGGAGAAGCTTTTGACGAGCGTCGTTGTCTTTCTCTTCATCTCCATCTGTGTTGCGTTTACTTGTTTCTTCTGAAATGCGATCACAGCTTTCACAAACTCCTGATAAACTAAAGCGCAGCCTGGATAATCAAACTCATCAGAGCCCGAAAGCCTCATCCTCTCGGGATGAAACTGCAGACCCATCAAGAATTGACCTTCCTTTGGATCATAGCGATTCGGATCATAAAATCCTTCAATCAAACCATCAGGAGCGTAAGCCATGGGCGCAAAACGTTGCGCCAGTCTCTTCACACCTTGATGGTGATACGAGTTCACCATTATCTCCATCTCCTTGAACAGCGTATGCAACGGCGTCTCCTCCACGATTCTAGCCTCGTGCCTGTGTCCATCGTAGTTGTCATAATCTATATGCTTAGTCGTCGTTGTTGTAGTTCCGAGTTCTTTGTCGATGTCTTGGTAAAGAGTTCCACCTGCGGCAACGTTGAGAATCTGAGAGCCACGACAAATGCCTAAGAAAGGAATGTTTCTTTCAAGACAGAGTCTAGCTAGGGTCAGTTCAATGCTGTCTTTCTCTCGGTCGATGGTCATGTCCCCTGCATGCACCTTCTTGATCTCCTCCATGTCTTCCGGTGAGAGACCTGAGGATTCTGCGTCGGCATAGAGAGAAGGATCTACATCTTCTCCTTCGCAGAGAAGGACGCCATGGATGGGCTCGAAGCTCTGGAGCATAGAATGGATCCCATTGACACGAGGCACGATGACAGGGACGGCACCGGAGGAGACAATGAGATCGAGATGGTATTCTCCTACGAAGTCCACGTACTTGTTCTTACGGAGAGTCCGACGAGAGACGATGAGAACTCTGGGGTGAATCTTGGGCGAGAGATCATTAGCGACCACCATTTTTATGTACTAATTTTAATTCTCTTTTTCTTGTTTGTCTTGTTTGTCTTGTTTATGTCTTAATTCTCTCTTTCTTATTTGTATGGTTATGTCTTAATTCTCGTTCTTTATTTATAGATTGGAAATGAGGCGTCGAGGCGCAGCGTCCATACAATGTACACACTCAAAGCTGACGCACACTTTGTGTTATCTGTACGTTTTTGGTCAAACCTTTCTGATTGGATGCTGACATGGACTTGTCTGGATATTCCAAATTATTCCTTCTTTTGATTAGGTTATTAAACAAAAAAAAACGTTTTCTTAGTAATAAATGGGGTTCGTTCGTATATGGATCAGATTAGTTTTTTAAGGAGGATTAGATATGAATGGATGACTCATTGACTTGTAACAATATTAGGCATGCAGAGCATATATGTATATCTATCTTTATTTTATACTATACATATATGCATGTCTTTCTGTATTTGAAGGATGTTGAATTAACTATGGAAATCACGTCATCCTAATCAGCCACCGGTTCAGTCACTCATACGTGTAAGATAACGTCGTAGACTTTCAACAAATCCTTATGAATGAAAATGTAAGAAGAAAAAGATCACTGTTGTTGCCGGAGTTGAGCTCTATTGTCTTCACAAGGACTTCAATATCTTACTCACTATTCGTTTATGCGGATTATGAATTGAAAAATTGAAAGATAAATGGACCATTCTCCATCGCATAAGAGATTTATTTAGACCACCATCCTAAAACTAGGATGGTTCACAATTTCTTAGTATCATGGTAAAACGAGAATCTAAACGGCAGGACATATGCGAGCTCTAGTCAGGATTTCACCTAAAAAAGTAGTAAGCGAAAATCATGCTTTAGACACAAGTCTTGTTCGTGGTTCTTTCTTTATTTCGAATAATCGTATGCAAAGTTACATTTACCTCTTTTCTTTTGTTTCGTTTCCCATTCAAGATTCAGAAATCAGAGCTGACAATTGGAAACTAGAACAAAGAGTGAAGAAAGAGAGGAGAAGCTAATAAGTTTTTGAACTTAAAACGAAACTAGAACAAAGAGTGAAGAAAGAGAGGAGAAGCTAATAAGTTTTTGAACTTAAAACGGAAGTATAACATCGTTTCTTCTTGTGATTCTCAGCCGCTCCACGGTTTCTATGAACTCACTGTCATATTCAAATCACAACACATGTAAACGCTTTATTTCAGTGATTTACAAGTTTGTTTATAGAAAGTCTAAAGAGCTTACTTCCATGGAACATCCCCAACATTCCTCCAGATACCTTCTTCGTCTCTGTAGACCAAACAGAACTCAGACTCCATCTGGAACAATCTCAATCCCGACACACTCTGCATCCCTGCAGATTGTAATGATCATCCGGTATAAGCCTACTAAAACATTACTACTTACTCATCTTTGAATCCCAAGAGGAGTAAATATCTGAAAATAAGTCATTCAAAACTAAAGAAACAGGCACTTGCATCCCACCCAGCAGAGGAGAAAAAGCTTCCAATGAAAAGCTTACCAAACATGTCCTCGAGTTGATGAGCAAGAGTTGAATAGCCTCCATGATCAAGAACACATACCTTGCGACCTACCACAAACCCATCCATAGTGACCTTTACATAACCCCAATTCCGTCTGTATCCTTCATTACTACAATATTCTTTACCACATGAAATAAGTAAACATTGTCTCAGAGTTGAAAAATATCACCAAGAAATGCAAGGTGACGTATAACTTTAATTTTATGTTAATGTTAGCTGCTGAGGTAACGGAAGCAGCAATGAAACTCACTTTGGCCAGATGTATGGTAAATCTCATGTTGTATGGTTCTCAGGCTGAGACCTAAATCGATTACGCCACCACACTCCGTGTTCTGAGGGTAATATGGATGATACTTGGGAGAACTTGGGAAAACACCGTGTTGGTCTGAGTCCATTGTTTGTTCTATAACAAATACATATTCAGCACAGTGTGGATTTATATCAAGCAGCTAAGGCTAAGAGTGTCAGGAGAGTTAAGAGAGATAATCTTAGACAGGGAACAGACAAAAGACAAGAACCCATTACCAACCAGGAAAGGGTCAGTTTGTGGTCTTTTTGTTGTTTGTCTGATGCCACTAAGTGCAAGGGATGGGGAGGTCACCACAGGTTCAGATTTTGTAACACATACATTGCTGCAATATTTCTGGTCAGCCAACACAAAAACCTGAAATCATCAGTAAAGTCAGGATTGTACTATACTAATCACAGCAAGCAGATCTCTATCTAGTGAAGTGTCTCAATGTTATCAGAGAGTGTCGACAACTCATTGTCTCAAGTCAAAACCTGAAATCACTCAACAACAAACACGTTACAGAAGAAATAGATAATTCGTGCTCGAGAACTATGTAGGATGGAGAATTAACGAATTTAATTATGGACAGGGAAAGAAAAGAAGTAGGTATGGTCTTACACGATGGTAGAGAGACAGTATCTTTCATGAAAGAGAGCTCTGTTGTTTAATATTAGACAATTCAGATCTATCATTATATCATGTATCCCACACCTTATCTGAGAAGTAGGGCTGTGTCATTAATGGATCTAATACAGAAAATGTACACATAAATCCATGTCTATACAATTGCTCTCATGGATAACTTAAAGTCCTCCAAAAGAAGCAAAGCAGTACAAGGGAACACACCAATTCTTCTAAAAATAAAAAGCTCGTTGCAATAACAAAACAAGAGAAACCATCACAGTTGACAAAAGCTTCCAGCATCTCATTTGATGGTTTTCCTAATTCACAGGTGTGTGACTTGAAAAAACTGATTCCTAAGCTCATGTACAGTTTGCCCGGATACTAAATGTACGTGTCTTAAACGGAAGACATCCTTATTAACAGACGCTTCTGATGTACACTTCTTAGACACCGCCTTAGTGCACCGTCTACATGCGCATATAGCATGCAAAGAACAGAAAAGCCCAAAATGTTTCACTTATGCAGAATCATGGTGGCTAAGAAATTCAGTTATGCAAGGATAAACTTGCTCCACCGCCTGCAGTGAGATAATCAGAGAAACAATTAATAAACAAAACAAGCACGCACATAATATATCATTGAACAAAGTTCCAACATAGGAGACCTAGAAATGACTGGGGAACAACATACCAGTCGCCCTCCAACCAAATCATAGTGTGCATAATGTGGTCCTTCTGGTTCTCCAAGTAACTTATAAGTGACCAAGTTCTCGGGAAACAGCTTAACAGTGTCTGCCATATTCACAAGCATTTGTAATTAGTAATAACGGTGAAAATGGCATGTATGAGATTGAGCATATTAAGCAACCATGTATTAAGTAGCTTAACAATTTATTTGGTGTGTGTGGAAAGGATCATAAAAGTTAATCCATCTATGCCTCATACAGCCTTTCATAACTCAAAAAAAATCAGTAACAACATCGTAGAATTTAAAATGAAATGCATATCTGGGCAAATGAATGGATTCATGTATATTATAGGGTCATCTATACAAAATTTCATAATTAACATTAATCTAGTATACCTTCCACAGCCGCAGGGGGACAGATTAAGTCCCGATCACCTGCAAGAGCTAAGACAGGGACACTGGTTCTGGGAAGATGATCCTTATAGGAAAATTTACCACTACGATCACGTAAGCCTCCCTCTCGAAAGGCCGTTGTCAGCTGAATAAGTAGTTTTGCAGGTATGGTACCTAGATGTAAGAAAACAAAGAAACTCTTTAAAATCACCATAAAGGAAGCAATTACGGATTGCAAAAATTAAGTCATGGTATTCATGCATCTAATAGTAATTGTTCCGGCATTTTCTTTTTCTTAATGTTTTCCAGTTAAGATACGCTAAGAACTCAAATAGTTAAATGGGATCAACTGTTTTTACTTACAGAAGTTATTCAAGACAAGCTTTTCTAACAATTCAGGGTGCATCATATCTGTTGATGATATCAAATCATTAAGCCAAGATAATACATATGGAGGACGTGTCGAAAGAGGAAAAGCAGCAGCCAACAGAGCGCCCAGCGGAACAACTGGAACACTCAGAGCTTCTGCAGGATTGGCCTGTAAAAGAAGTTTCTAGTAAATTAGCTACAAAAAAAACTTAGTGGCACATCAATTCTTCTCGAAGATTCCAGTGCAGAATATTATAACATAAAGTCACGTACAAGAGGTATGAGCAACTTGAGTGCAGAATCTGAGGTTGTGTAATCAACCGATGATGCCAGAGTTGCCACAGCTGCCACAGAAGGTTCTCGTCCTTCAAAAGCTAACAAAATGGAATAGAAGAAATGAATGCCAGCTTAAATATATGAGGCCTCTGTTTCCAAGAAAATGAGATCTAATGGAAAGAATACCCAATTGAAAGATATATATTAAGTTACCACAACGTGACAGCATTGCATAGAGTAGGATACCCCCCATGGAGTGCCCAATTGCGAATAGTTTGCCATCCTTGGGCTTGCTTTGCGCTCTAACATACTCAATCTGTAGCAAACCAAAAACGGACACCCAGTTCAGTAACAAAATCCAGACACGATTATGCGAAGGATTCAGCAAGATCAACATTGCCTCACCGCAGCAGGGACATCCTCCTCAAGGTAGTGATCAAAATCCCAGTCATATTTAACTATCAAATCCAGTTGCTTCTGAAAATCTTCTATGGTCGCAGTGAGGCGTTCTTGTAAATCAATCAGCGGAGGCGAGACAGACCTTTGACCATCATCGAAAAGATTCACAAGGCGCTGGGCCAAATCTCTGATTTGGTTAACAAGTCCTGAGTTTTGCCTGGACTCTATCAAACTCAAAAGCTTGGATCTTATCTCATTAAAGCGCTCGTACAGCTGTGTATCATCTACAAGCATTGCAATTTTGTCAAATAACTTAGCAGACATGAACACTGACTGACCTTCACTGAGAAAGCCAGAAAGTCTTTCTGACAAACGCATGAAAGTCGATGTCAATCTCGCCACAAGTTGTGACTCATCCCAAGCGGAGGCTTCGCCAACAACTGAAACATCCGACGCTGGTGCACTACTGTCCACGATATCAGTAGCCTTGTTTTCATCAGAACAAGATTCTTTACCTGCAGCAGCTCTAGCAGTAGATTCTATCCGATTCGACAATTCGTGAGCAGATTCCTCAACATCCTTAAGATCAGATACTCGTGTACTCAATCCAGCACCACGAACCTCGAGAATCCAGGTCTCAAATCCCTGACCAGACATATGTCTTGCAAAAGAGCACTGCAATGACATCAACAAAGATTTACAATAAATCTACTTCCTCGTCGAAAGATACACTAGTGTACTCATGTCCTTAGCGTGAATGTTGCTCTTGATGAAACAAATTGACATTAAAAACGAAAGGAAACATGAAGGGAACAACATACACCAGGAGATAAATCATATCCGATGGCATTAGTTCCTACTCCAGACAATAGCAACAACGGATGATTCCTCGTCGGAGCCTATGAGAAGATAGAAAATTAAAAAAAAAATCAAAATTGCAGATACAGAGAAGAACGATAGTTGGTGAATTTTGAAAACCTGAGGAGGAGGCAAGTAACGCCAGAGAGCGAGACGCCAATCGCTGTTAGGAACAGAGACGTAATGAAGCTCGTCGGCGGTGCAAAGAGAAGGTTTCGTGGGGAGCTTAACAGAGGAAGAAGAGAAAGCTCTCGGTCGAAACAACGTCGTGCGGTGACGAAACGAAGGAGGAGTGACGGTGCCGATGGAGCAGTGGAAATATACGGTGGAGGAAGCTCGGCGAAGAGCTGAGCGGATCTCCAAGGGGAATTGGGGAGGCATGGTGGACATGGCACAGACTCTGGCAGATTTGGAAAACAAATGGTGGCTCGGTTTCACTCCGGCGTGTTTTTTTAAGGATCTTCATTCATTTTCCGGTACACGTGGAGAGACGACCAGTGATGTGATGATTGACGAAGACGTGACTTTCTTATTTTGACCGCGAATACTTTGGGCCCGTGATATTGCAAAAAGCCCAAGTTGGATTTTTTTGTTTCTTTGGACCTTTGGTGGTGCGTTGAAGACAAGGAAGGTATAGTGTAAAGGAAATTCTGTCCAATCATTCTGATTTGGAATTTGAGATGTGTTTAACTAAAAGCAATTAATCAACAAAACCAGAATATATCACTGATACTTTACTTAATACAATAGTTTTCAAAAATAGATACTCCCTCTGTTTTTTTTAAGTTATCGTTTTAACTGTATTTTGACAAATTAAGAAAATGTATACAATGACTATATTAACCTCATAAAAATGACAAGTAATTATTTACAAATAATTTGTGTTCAATAAAATGAAGGCAATTTGGGTAGTTATTGGCATAAATTACATTATTACCTTAAAACGACAACTAATTTAAAACAAAAAAAGCTCTAAAACGACAACTATTCGAAAACGGAGGGAGTATATGTTATTATATTTACATAAACTAAATAATGTATCTAACTAAATAACTAAAAATGTTAATATAATTAGCTATCATCTTAATTATTAATTTTAAATTTACTATATACTAAGCGACTAAGTGAGAAGAATAAAGTCAGATTTGATCTAATCAATCAAGATATTATTTGTACATTTAGTATTTTTTAATTTTATATTACACTAAATTTAAGAAATTTTGATCTAAAATTGAATTTAAAAAGATAAACAAAAAATAAAAACTGTCAATCAAATATAATATTATTTTTTGACTAATTTTGATATTTATTTCTATAATATTGGATCAATTGATGTATGAGTAGTCTCTATGATTTCTGAAAGACAAAAACATAAAGCTAAAGAGAAGAGGTTGCTTTTTCTTTATTGGACGAAACACAACTTTATCTTTCATTCCTTTGAAATCTCCCGGAGAAAACCAAACATATTTTCCGTTTCCCGCTTTAATCCATTCCTGTTTTCCCCAGTTCGCGACACACATAGAGAGTGTAGATACGCTTTCACGAGCGTCTCCGACGTCGAACTTCCGCTCATCATCTCCACATCTCTAACGCTAAAGGTACACTCATCGTCTTCTCTCCTATTTATCACCGATAAGTTTTGAGACAGAGGTTCAACAGTGGAATTTAGTGATTCTGGTTTGTGGCCATTGTGCAGTTGATTCTTGTTATAGGCGAGCTTATAACCTTGAAAGCTCTTATTGAGTTCGAGCAAGGTTTCTAATTTGGCAGCTCTCAGCAAAAACCCTAGCTTTGAACCTATTTTCGTCCACTAACAGCTTTTCTTGTGGAACTATAGATTAAGCATGCCCGAAATTCAATTGGGTGTTCATACAATAAGATCTCATGGAGTCACAGTCGCGAGGTTCCATATGCATGACTGGCTCATTCTTCTGCTGCTTATCGTCATCGATATTGTTCTCAATATCATCGAACCCTTTCATCGTTTTGTTGGAGAAGATATGCTCACTGATCTCAGATACCCTCTGCAAGACAACACAATTCCTTTCTGGGCTGTCCCGGTATTACGTCATGGATTTCCTGATTTCTTTTATACAACAAGTAAAGTAACTCTTGGACCTGCTTTTTGTGATTCCTCTGGTAATTCTCTACAAGTGTTTGTTTTCTTTTGTGACAGTTGATAGCTGTTGTACTACCTTTTGCTGTCATTTGTGTTTACTACTTCATCAGAAATGATGTTTATGACCTGCATCATGCAATACTAGGTACCTCTTTCTTCTCTCAATGGTGTGGTGTTTCATGTTTCGAATTCTTTGTAGCTACTCTTGATTTTGAGGTGTTTTCTCTTGGGTCTTCTTCAGGTCTTTTGTTCTCTGTACTTATAACCGGTGTCATAACCGATGCTATAAAGGACGCTGTAGGTCGACCTCGTCCTGACTTCTTTTGGCGTTGTTTCCCTGATGGTATAGGGGTAAGCAGCACACATCTCTTTGCTTACTCTGATAACACCTTGGATAAACTCTAACTGGTCGAAGTTGTGAAATTCCAGATCTTTCACAACGTCACAAGGAATGTTCTGTGTACTGGAGCTAAGGATGTGGTCAAAGAGGGACACAAAAGCTTCCCCAGCGGGCACACATCTTGTAAGTGGCTATCTTTGAGCTTGTTGTACCATGAGAGAACTCTATGTTGTAGTATGGTTATTGGTTAATGTTTTCATCAAATAGGATGGCACATTGTAGATCATAAAGAGTTGGTCTTGTTACCTGCAGGGTCGTTTGCTGGTCTAGGGTTTCTATCTTTGTACTTGTCTGGGAAAATCAGGGTATTTGACCAGAGAGGGCATGTTGCAAAGCTCTGCATTGTGATCCTACCTCTACTGGTTGCAGCATTGGTTGGTGTATCCCGAGTAGATGACTATTGGCATCACTGGCAAGATGTGTTTGGAGGAGCTATCATAGGTTTGTTTGTTTTTTAACTCATGCATTCAACATACGTGAGAAACAAACTGATGAAGGACACACATCTTTCATGCAATGTCCAGGATTGACTGTGGCCACGTTTTGTTACCTGCAATTCTTCCCTCCTCCGTACGATCCAGACGGTGTGTAACTGAGGAACCTCTTCTCTTCAAGATATAGTCACTTCGATTAATAGATAGTAAGGAACACTGATCTATCTCTATATGGACTGCTTGCTTTCAGGTTGGGGACCTCATGCGTACTTCCAGATGCTCGCAGACTCAAGAAACGATGTCCAAAATTCAGCAGGAATGAATCATCTAAGCGTGAGGCAAACAGAGCTAGAGAACGTGTACGTTGATCGAGAAGAGACGTCTATGGAAATATCAAGAAGCAACACGCGGGACACCACCCGTAATGCTTGAGAACCGCTAAGTGAAGTCTTGTACATACTCGTTTGTCAGTCTATGTGTATTTGGGTTAGGCATTGATATGTATGGGCTTCTAATTACAAGGCCAATATTGGTTGGAAACCATAAGCTAAAAACAGAGCCCAAAAAAGAGGAAAATAGAATCGCTGAAAGGAGGGCTTGAACCTTGTGGTTAACAGCCACACGCTCTAGCCATCTGAGCTATTCCAGCTTTTTGACTACCTTTTAAAGTATTAATTCTTAAAAGGAAGGGGAAAAGTTGGTGTATGAAAGAACTTTTTTTTTTTTTTCTCAATACCGAATTTTGACATCACATTAACACTTGTATAAATCTCTAAATTATATATTCCGGTCAATCATAGTATATATACAGTATATGATAAGATTCATGAAAAATGATATATTTTGTCTTTTGTTGAATGGCATTATACAACGTATGTTACATCTAAAATTTCATCTTGTCAAAAGGTAAAATCCGAAAGGGATATTTGTGGGGATCGAGGCCCATGCGCCCCTTACAGAAGACCCAGGCCGATTGGCCTTTTCCCTTAATTTTAGGATTTCTCATTAATATTTTCGTATTTACCAGTTCACACCCTTTTTCTCTCTTTGAGTATCCAATGATTGCTTTTTCCAATATTTTATGACCATTTTAACGAGCAAAATTTTTAAATACGAGTCATTTTATTCAGCCTTTTGATGAATTTGTCCAATGAGGTGTGCACTCTATGTCTTGGATTCCTCTTAAAAGTCATTCTTTTTCTCCCAGACTTTTACTTTTACCTTTGTTGAATTATGCAGAATCTTTACTACTTTGTTATTAAAAAAGAAAAACTCTATGAAATTTGGATATCAATATGTAATCATATTTAGTTGTTTGTCTAACTAAGTAGTTGTACATGGACTTAAGTGATGATCCAAAGAATATAAAAGATTAGTGACAAATTGCTGTTCGTTTTCACCATAAAAATGTCTTCTATTTTAGAAAGCATGTAAACCTGTTTATGTTTTCATTATTTTCATTTTTTTAGTCCACTAACGTAATATCAATCATATTCATTATATTTGAAAATTCAACGTGTAATTTTTTTTTTTTTTTTTTTTATAAACCTTATCGGCTATCCGGTAGGAACGCACCAAGGTGCTACATAGTGGACTGGTCCACCGTGTTAACGGTTAGGCCCTTACGGGCTACCACTCTGCCTATCCCGAGTTTGGAATGCCTTCCGACTAAGTGCCAGGGGTAGTCAGGCCGCCTGCATTTCTGACTACCAAGTAAACCAATTGGGCCAAGGTCCAACTGACAGACTTCCCAAACAAATTTGTTTTTGTCACATTTTGTTTCCAGGGAGAATATATGAATTCAACGTGTAATATCTTTCTATATATATGAATATGATATGATTATGGCTTAAAGCAAGCCCTTTCCGTGAGACACACACCCACCTCCTACTTCTAGTTCTAATAGGAAAAGATCTTTGTGTTGTATATGTTCACATATATTATCATTATTTAGTCATTTCAAGTAACAAATTATTAGAGGAACAACAAAAAAAAAAAAAGACGACCAACGTCAATAAAAATGGAAGACAAATGAATGACGCAGAAAGTGGCGTTGTGATGATGTAATTCAGTCTAATCTGAGTAGTGCGGTGTGTGAACGGCCAGGATTGAAGGAGGGCGTAAGAGTGGAGGGTCAACGTAAATAGATATAAAGGTGTTAACTTTTTGTCTGTTTTAGTCACTAAAGAGTAAAGATGTTTGACAAAAATTGAAAAAAAGTTTACGACACGATGAGACTGAAACTGAGACCCCCACCTGTGACTTTATTTTCTCGTATCTTTGAGTGGTCTTTCAAAAATGTTTAAGCAGGGCCCGCCCAAACTATTTGAGTGCCTAAAGCAAAAAATTTTTTGGCCCATTAACAAAAGCTGTTATAAAAAAAAAAATACAAGTTTTAACATGTATGGGATTCGAAACCGTGATCTGTACAACAAAAGACTTTAACCTAACCACTAGACCACAATAACATTTTAAAAATTGATGCCCTTAAAACTACTTATAATTATTTGATGCCTAAAGCCCTTGCTTCATGGGCTTTACCCATGGGCCGGCCCTGTGTTTAAGTGATCATAATCAGAAAGGCTACAACACTCATGAGTTAATTTATACTTAGAGAGTAGTTTGTGAATCTATCAACGGATCGGACCAGCTCTGCAAGTCGGTGGAACTAAGATGGGTTTTGGATTTGGAAAATGGATATGTGCCTTGGGCGATGGATGGATATCACAAATAGCACACAAAATCACACATATAAGTGTGTACAATATAAAGAGAACGTACGGCGACATGATGACCAAATGAGAAAGCCCCATTGATTTGTCTGCTCATTACCTAACATCCAAATCTATATTCATTTCTTGCCTCATTCTCTTTTGTTTTTATATGCAAAGAATTACTACTACTTTTTTTTCATAATGAATACGTAAATAACACTAAACAGAAACGTCAATAGTGACAATTAGATTGTGAGATGAAATTTAACGAGGGAATAACATAATACAGTAAACTAGCTTAAACATAATTGAATTGAATGCTATTAAATTATTTTTGATTGTAGATTGATGAATTTTCATATTCTCTTGTTAAACTTGTAACACCGTCGTGAAAATGAACAAAGGAGACCACATAATTCATGTATGCTCTAAAAACACCACGAAAAATATACAAAATAACTTTATATATTTGTATGAACAAATGAAAGAGAGCATTTGGTAGAGTGAGGAAAAGAAGGAAGCTGCACAACACTCAAAGCCAAGACTGTTCCACTATCTCTTCATCTTCGTGACTTTCTATGCACATTCTTCCTAATAAGCATTTCCCTAATTAACCTACTCTCATTATCTATATTAATTCTAACAACCATTCTTCCTCTTAAATCTGTAAAAAAGGGCTTTAGAGAAAACATACATACCCAAGAGGCTCGGAGATCGAAACTATATAGAAGAATTTCTTTCACATTACCCCAAGTTTAAAATTTTCAGTTTTGCCCCTCAACGTCATACTAAACTCCAAACCCCACCCCAAATTGTGTGTCAATCACTTGTATATCATTTGCTAATACACAATCATATTTACTTTTTTATATATATAAAAATGTGGAGAGACATAACCTCCTTGACCCTTTATATAAGACCCACTCATCATTCCATACTTTTGCACATTGCCTACTATATCAATCTTCTTCTTCTTCTTCTTTAACTTGCTGCTTTTATATAACCAAGTCTTTACTTTTAGAGGTCAGCTATGGTGTCAACAGAAGAAGACGAGGAACGGGGAAAAGGGAGGAAAGGTGTTTCATATATGAAACAATGATGACCACATTTTATGGATGGTTTAGAGAAAAAGATGGGCTTTGCAATAGTTTACGCTCTTTCATAGAAATGTAAGTCTGGGGAGAGCGAGATTATTGCATTGCTTGCTGCTGGGGAATCGAAGGTTACTGGTCCGATTTTTTTTCCTTACCCGAAAAAAATCATTCTTATATCTCTTACTTAGTGTTTTGTGTGTGCTAGTCTACGATTATCTTCATGTTATGTTATGAAATGAAGAGTGTCCTTGTGGTGATGCTATCTATCAACTTTATAAGAAAAAGTTACATTTCAAATAAATGAGAGTTTACTAGCAACAGTATCAGATGGATTATGAGTTGAATCTTGAGGAGTTAAAGTGCTTGTATTTAATTGTGTATTCGTTTCTCATTTAACCCAACTAAAGAACTCTTATACGACGTTTTGAGTAGGTAAGAATAGGATTAGTTAAGAAAATCAACTAGTACAATATATAAAACAAATCGGGTCAAATTTATTTAATTTTGACCCGGAAATCTTCAATCGGATATTTCCTTAAATTTTGGCAAAATTAAAAAACGAAAATAATTAATAAAATCTAAAATATATATACTTTCTCAACTAATTACTATATTTAAACGCTTTATTTATGGTATATTCTCCACGATTTTTATAGATAAAGAAATCAAATATGATGATTTAATGCTAATATAACAAATTTGCACTAATTTCCTAAAACCTCTCTACCTAATTTAAACATAAATATATGATTCTTATTTCACTTTTATTTGATCTTATATTTATATTATTTTAAATTATTATAAAATATATAAATAGTTAGTAAATTTTAGTTTTTTTTTTCTGCATATGTTACAATTCAAATTTTTTAAAACGGACATATATTACTCAATCGATGAATAAAAATATGTGTGTAATCTATATTAACATTTTTAAGAACAAATTGAGCATTTAATCATGTCGTTATTTTATTCAGACCCGAAATTGAGTCATTCGGATCTTTCTTTAATTTTTACAATTATCTAAAATGGGACAGTATATCACGGGTGAAATCCTAATTAGTATTTTAAGATACAATTATAAATTATTTTTATGGGTTGGTCCAAAAACACACACTAATTTAAAAATATACATGGAAACTATTTGAAAGCAACTTTCAAATTAACTCGAATTATATGACATTTAAATAAAAGTGTTATTAAAAAAATAACAAAATGATGTTTAATTTCATTTTAGATTATATGGTTGGACGGGTTTGGGTCAATATTAATACGAGACAATATACCACAGATGAAATCCTATAAATAACAAATCAAAATACAATTATACAATCTTAAACACTAAACAAAACAAATACAACTTAAAATTTTTTATTTTAGATACAACGCATGTTACCCGCGGTATACAACAAAAAATATTATACACAATAAATTCATCAATTTATAAAAATAAAAAAATCAAATAATTAACCCGCGGTATATCGCGGGTCATATCCTAGTAATAAATTTAAAAATGGTTCTTAAAAATGGATCTTAATGTTAAATTTAGATCTTAGCTAAGCCACTTTAATTTTGGATCTTAGTCTTTAACAAGATTTTTCTTTAATTTTTTTGCTAATATTTAGCTAAGGCTCATCAATTGGAGCCCAGGTAAAGCCTCATCTATAATGTTACCACCTTAATGGGCCTATTCCCCTTTGAAAACGTAATGTTACTAAGCCCATCTTGTTTGTTTGTTATCGTTTCCTTACAAATTAATAAGCCCACACAATTCTCTAAAAAGAGAGACTCAATCCTCAATCTTCTCAAGTCTCAAGTCTCAAGTCTCTCAAGTCTCAACACTTGAACTTCCAAACTTCTTATACAAACGGAAATAATAGATGAATGAATGAATCATTGCAAACTTGAGACTGGAATATAAACCTTTTCCACTCCTTGGAATTTGTCAAAGAAGTTGATGGGATTCAATTTTTTTAGGGATGAATCCATGAATCTTCAACTAATAAATCACTCAACTGTTCAAAAAATCTCACTATAATGATCATTGTCCTCACTGGTTTGTGAACTGAATATCATATGATATAAAGAAGGTATTGTATAAAACATGAATCTGATGTATAGAAAAAGTGTTGACAATTATGTGCAATGTCCATCCTTAATTACACACATCTTGTTACAATACTGAGAGGTGTTGTAGTAAATCAATTCCCCTTCTCCCAATATCAAAGCCAGATACATCTACAAATCCACCATTTCCTTCTTTACAAAAAAAAAAAACAAACAGGAACAAAACATTTCCAAAATTCACAGTGTTGATGGATTGAGTTTGCACAGATTATTTCTGGAATTTAGATGTTCTCCATATATATACTCAAAAGTAAGGAAAAACAAAAGATACAAACGGTGAAAATTTGTATATTTCAAAATTTACAAAACGAAATCGAAAAGTGAAAAAACAAACAAAAAGGTCCTCTCCTCTCACAGAAGAGAAGAGAAGAGAGAGACCTCAAAAAAAAAAACCGAGAAAAGAAGGGGCGCGCGTGGTCAAACCGAACCAGCCAGCCACCGTAGATCTCTCGGATGCCGTCGGATCAAACTCAGTGGAGAGAGAAACACGAGATCAAATCCCTTCCAACGCGGCGCTGCGTTTTAGAGACGCAATCATCGGAGACCAAAGCAGATCTACAAAGAGGACAAGTGAAATTGAGTTGATGAAGCCATCCTTCTAAACACTTCTTGTGGAACACGTGTCGACATTCCAGCTTCCTCACCTCTTCACCTTCCTTAAGCTTCGACAAACACACCACACAATCGGACCCGCCTCCGTCACCGCACCGGTACGAGAATAACCGATTCAAGCTCAGCTGATCGGCGAGCACTATTATGTTGGCTAGTCCCGATGCTACAGAGACATCGTCGACGGGGAGATTATGATTTGATTTAGCGGTGAGACGGAGGAGGAAAGATCGGAGATGGTTGATGAAGACGGCGAGGAGAGAGAGGAGCATAAGAGGGATTGAATCGGAAGAGACGTCACTTAGCTGACCTTGTAGCCCCATCTTCTTCTTCTTCTTCTTCTCTCTCTCTGTTCTTCAATATATATATATAGCTGTCTTTGCTTTAAACCTTTACACATTATTGTTCCTTTTTATTATTTCATATCACTATGCGGTCAATTAGACTTTTTATTTTGGAAAAACTACAAAATCTACCACTTATTCCCAATTTCTTTCAAAATCTACCACATTCCTTCCTTTCTTTCAACTCATACCACATTTTGATGTAGAGTTACCATTTTGCCCTCCCTTTTTATCTTCCTTTTTATCTTTCCTCCCTAATTATTTTTCCTCCCTATTTATCTTCCCTATAACATTAGCTTCTCTATTTATCTCTCTCTCCCTCGAAACATGTGCACTTTAACCAATAAACATTATATCTTCTGAGACTAAACAATTAACTTTCGTTTTTGTCTCCAGATCTTGTCCCCGATTGGAAATTCTCTGTTGCGTCTAGATCTTGTCCCCGATTTCATCATCTTGCTCTATTATCATGAATTCCACATCTTGTCCACCAATTGTTCTCATTTAAGGGTTTCGAATTTTATTTAGATTTTTCACCATCTATTTTGGTCCACAGATTAGTTGAGCATTATTGTCTTCACCTACCCTAATTATTGAATTTTTTTTCCTTCAATTGCAAAATAACAAAAAGATCCAGTTGTCCCCGAGTACTATTACTCATTCTATTACTCATTCGATATGAACTTGTCCCCGATCTAATTCTATTACTCATTTGATCTGAACTTGTCCCCGATCTAATTCTATTACTCATTCGATCTGAACTTGTTCCCGATCTAATTCTATTACCCATTCGGTCTGAACTTGTCCTCGATCGATATCTATTACCCATTCGATCTGAATTTGTCTGCGATCTAATTCTCTTACTCATTCGATCTGAACTTGTCCCCGATATAACATATTCGATCTGATTCTCTTACTCATTCGATCTGAACTTGTCTCCGATCTAATTCTATTACCCATTCCATCTGAATTCGATATGAACTTGTCCCCGATCTAATTCTATTACTCATTCGATATGAACTTGTCCCCGATCTAATTCTATTACCCATTCGATCTGAACTTGTCTTCGATCTAATTATATCACTCATTCGATCTGAATTTGTCCATGATCTAATTATATTACTCATTAGATCTGAATTTGTCCCTGATATAACATATTATTTAAATAACCGTGCAGCATTTATTGTAGACCTGCTCCTTCTTTGGAAGCGCCAGACAAAACTGTCTCTGTCTCTGACACAGACTATGTCCTTGACACAGACTCTGTCCCAATCAGGGGTATTTTGGTCCAGCATTCCACATGTGCTATTGAAATATGGTAGATTTTGAAAGTTTTTTGAGATTGTGGTAGATTTTGAATACCAGTTGTTAAAATGTGGTAGATTTTGCAATATTCCCTTTTATTTTGGTTTATTACCAAAGGAAATTAATTATTTAAAATACTTTTCTATAAAACTTAATGATTTTTAATATGTAGACAGTAGATATATAATGGAATTTTAAGAACAAATCATTATTACACCAGAAATAAATACAGATTTTTTTTTTATTCTTTGAAGTTTTGAACTCCTATTTTTGTCAATTTTATTACCAGTCTGACGATTGTGTAATTAGATCAAGTGAAGTTAGTAATAAATACCAAATCTTTTATACACGTGATCTGGTATATTACGGATCTAATTTTATATTACAAACAAACGTCACTTCTTCTTTTTTTTTTTTTTTTAACCAACGTCACTTCTTTCTCTCTTTCATATTCAGGCCCCTCCATTTTTCCGTCTATGACCACACTTCCCCGTTAGTTTTCAGTGTTTCTTTCTTTTGTTTACACTTTAATTATAATTAATTTTATTTTGTGGTTTTTATGTAAAACGCAAAAATAAACATGAAACTAAAAATAATTATGTGGAAAAATATTTGAGATATTTAATTTATAATATTATGTTAATTTGTAAAAATATGAAAACAGAACTTTTTAAAATTCAAGTAATTAATAATTTTTGTCATAACTTTTTCATTTTGATTTATAGGTTATATTTTTAGGAGTTTTTTTAATTATTATTTTAAGGATGACGAAATGTGTCTATTTTCATAAAAAATTTTTTTTTAAAAATGCATGTGTCCACAATACGCTTAAAACATGTATGTTTTTAAGGATTCCAAAAAAACGTTTAAGAGATTTTAATTGAATAACAATAGAAAGAATGAAAAATCCATAGACACCGATAGGTTGAGTGCAGTACTTAGCCTTATGGTGGTGTGACCATAGCCCAATGTGTTAAGGCATTTGCAAATATACTAATGATATTTGCAAATATATCATAATGGAACAAATGTAAATTAGATTCTTTATCAAAAAAAATGTGAACAATTTACTAATCTTGTAAGGTAACATTTTGAAAAATAAACTTAACACTCCAATCGATTATGTGATGACATGTTACCCTAGAAATTCTTCTTTATTTTTTTTTTTTAATTTTGAAACGACAATAAGCGATCTTTTTCCTTTTCCATAAATGCATTTTGCAATTACAAAAACTATAAAGTGAAATATTAAAATGGTGTTATAGATTAGTAGTGGGCGGTGTGGATGTTTGATCTAATATTAGACGAAGGGGACCAAACTTATAATATTTTAAGATGAACATTATTTATTGATACCAATTTGTTGATCTGATGAAGATTTTGCACGATCCTCGCTAACTTGTTGTCTCACCACCTTTCATATTTTATATGTTTCGGACCCCCAATAATCATGTCATTTCTACGGTTTCTACCTTATAAAAAAATAAAATATTTTCCATATTTTAAAAAAACAAAGATAGCAAGCCACTAATTAAACAGCGGACCAAACAACATCATAATTTTCGGGAATAAAACAAATAAAATTTACGATTTTAGAATATTTGTAAACCGGTGAAAACAGAAGCTACAATTTTTCCTTTTATACATCATAATCTTTTTGGAAATTTGTGAATTTGTATATCTTCAAAATGAATATATATATTTTTTTTTACTGGTAAAATAGTTACAACTAAAAATGGTATGAACTCACAAATAAAAAAGTTTTATCTAAAAGTATTAAATAAAATATACTAGTTCCCACAAAATAAGTGGAAAGTGCCATCTAGTTTGAATCGAACATTAGTTAATGTAATTAATGAAAAATCAAAGGATAAACATGATCATAGTGAGGGGAACATAAACAAAAGAGTGAAGGATAAGTAACATTAATCATGTTTTAGAAAAATGTTAAACGGCGCTGCCTGTCAACGTATTAATTTTGCAAAATATAATTATAAGTTTGGGTTTATATATTTAAATAGAGAAAGTGGGAGAAAAGAAGTCTCGATGTAGCCGTCCAAAAGATCTGAGAATCCACCGACTGATAAAAAAAGAACACAAGTTGGGATTAAGAAAGTTGATTAGCACATTAATTAAGCAACGACCAAAACCATTACCACTCATATAATATGATATTGCCATGGAATTTATATAGAAGAAATAAAGTCCAAAAAAGGGAAGGCGTAAAAGTGATTGACGAAAAGGATGTGTTGTCCTCTATATCATAATTAGCAAGAGTTTAATTAATTGGTGATTACCAACTCCAATTAGATGATGAGCATTGTGTGGTGACAAAACAAAGTAAAAGCAAAGAACATCTCTCGTTGGAAGAAGAGGCAGGTAATGGAGAGACCATTCATTTTAAGCATCATGTGGCCAAAGGGAAACCACACAACACAAGTTTAAAATAATGATGCAAAAGAAAGACAAGTCGCTGTCATAGTTGAAGCAATCAGACCAATCTCTCTTGGATTTTTCTTCGGCCTAATAAATCTACCATATGGGCTTGATCATTTTTGATTGCAGTACTTCAGGCCCAGTTTGTTATCAACGATCATCACTCTGTTTCTTTTTACACCAAAAACAAATTTAAGTACAATTTTTCTTGTTCGAGAAACAGAGTGTATAATCCTCTTGTTTTAGGTACAGAGTGATAAATATAAAAAAATAACACCACCAGAAATTATACAATGAGGGTTAAAAGTATCGTTAATTTAATGTGTTTGGAACAACACATGAAAGGATTGATTTTTTTTTTTTTTTTTTTTTGCAATTTATTACATTTTGTTAGGCTTTTAATCCTATTCCTATAACTCAAAACACGGGTTTAGGGTTCAGAAATAGCAAAAATTTTGCGATTATGTAATAAATTTGTTTGGTTTTTCTAAAAATCGCAAAGGTGATAGATACACATGCAAGAGTTGTTGCGATGTTACTTAAATTGATTGAATTTAGACACATGTAATTTGGTATAGATGTCCATCCTTGTGCCTGGAAGTTCACCGATATACGTCTATTTCACCAATATGCAAAAGCTATACTTATCTATCACAGCAGTGATGGTATACATGATTATAGTTCTACATTTTCTTGTTTCAAACATTATGATTTTCAGTAAAATATAGGTAAATCGTTATATTCTACCAAAAAAAACAATTAGTTATATTTAGTATTTTCTTGAAAGGTGTTAATTTCCATATTACGTTTTCGAAAAATGGTACTTATAACCAAATTGATTGAAAATGAAAAAGGGTCATATGACAGTTGGATGCTTTGCGTGCATCTAACAAGAGCAATTAGTTGGTGGTTAATGTAGCATTTTGAAGTTTCAAAGGACACATATATATATCTTCTGACCTGAAAGCAGCAAGCACGTTAGAAGATATGATGTTCTTGGTGTTGGTGGCATTGCAAGATTATGTGAGCTAGGATCGTTATATCTTTTATATTCCTTGGATTTGAAAGTTAAAAAAATAAATACAGGTTTGACTCTTTCTTTGAGAGAGAATAAAACATTTGATATCAATTCTGATATTTTTGAGCTTTGACTAAAGAAAACATAAGTATCTTTGATTATCTTAAAGAAACAACAAATGTGTCCAAACTCTAGGGGTTGGTTGTATTAGCAATTAGGAGCATGTGGTGGATCAGTCGTAGAAACCATAATTAAAGTCGTCCGGACGGATCAGAAACAAGAATGGACCACTCTTTCTTACTTGTCTTCATATGCCAACACTTATACTTGAGACTGACTATTTTGAGGTTGTCCTCCTCATATTATTTCTAGATGTAGACCACACCTCTCTATCTCTCTCTCCTCCTCCTAACTTACCATTTACCATTTACATCAACACTTAGTTATCCCAATTTTTAACACAGATTCATTCTCCCAAGTTTGCTTGTGGTGAAACAGTTAATTGATAGGCTTATTGGTTACAATTCGTCATGAGTATATGTTGACGGTTCTTACGAAAGCATTATCACACTATTATTATTGGTGTCAATCGATACGATATACTCCATGTAGTGATAATATACTAGAATAGTTTTAGCTGTAATGCTTTTTATTCTGCCAATCATTACTACTTCAATGATTTCGAATATCATCGAATCGAAATTCTTAATCACTCTCTCTATCTCATCATTAACTTTGACCCTAATGATTTATTAGTATCTCTCTATTTATCTCACACGCTTTTCTTCTGTTTATTTAGTTATTATTCCTAATGAAAAAGTTAAATTGAAAAACAGAGGAAGAGGGGTAATGTTGTGACAAGTGACAAGTGGTGTCTCCATCTGCATGGTCTTCTTATAGGAATGAGCTGTTTTATCTTTGTTTCTATTCAAATTTCAACTTTTATAATTTCATTCATTGGTGTTTATTTTATTTTATCCTATTCCTAGTTATGTGAATTTAATCAAGAGCTAGATGACCGTATATGCTTATAGTTAGGGTCCATTCTCTACATTTGTACCCTTGTTTGAAAAATCGCTAGGCGCTAGTCGGGCGCTCGGCATGGGCCTAGCGATTAATCGGAAAATCGGATTAAAATCGGGGATTAATCGGGGATTAGTTTTAGGGTTATTTTAATATTTTTAAAATATATTAATCCAATATTGTAAAAATTTATGATTTTTATTACAAATTTATGATTTTTATTAAAATTTGAACACAAGTTATTGTAAAACATCACAAACTCTCCATTCAAATGATTGAATAACAAAAATAAAAAGTTTTTTTATACTTGCAATCTAAAAAATAATCAGGGTATATAAGATTAGGCGGAAAGTAATCGGATTAGGCGGAGAATAATCGGGTTACTGATTTTTTAGGGGATTAGTCATTAATCGAGGCGGATAGGGTGGGCCTAGTGATTAAGCGGGGAGTAATCGGGGCTAGGCGGGGATTTTTAGAACAGGGATTTGTACATTTATAATATAAGCATGCTAGTAGAGTTATTGTGATGATTTCAAGCACAGAGAAGTGTCTATATCACCACCACTTCACTTGTTATTAGTTCTCTCTTTATTTCATACTATGACTTTTTTTTGTTTGTCATTCAATAAAATAAACAAAATAAATAGTTTGATATACTAATTAGGATTGTTATTCTCTGCATCTCCTTTCTACTTTTGGGAATATCTGTCAAATCAATTACTTAAATAAGAATATTAATAAATTTCGCAATCGATGTGCTTTATTTGGCTGCAATTAAACAACAATCAAATGAGTTATTGTATCCATTCCAACACCATAAATGTTAGCCTTCTTAAATTATACTATTACCGTTTTATTCAGATAATTTATTTAAAGACGAATCTGGTGAAACATGAATTAATTGACAATTGAAATCCGATATGGAATGAAATATTTGAACGGTATTTTTGTTTATGTTAAATTAGGCAATACCATTACATATACACTTAACCGTTTATCAAAAAGAATTTTACAAATTAAATTGTATTGGTCAGTAAAATTAATCCAAACAAACATTTTTAATTTTTAGAAAGAAAAAAATTGTGAATTACAGTTGATTATTATTTGAATGATTGATATGCGTTACAAATAAAATTCACAAGACATCATAACAAAGGAATACGCATCAATTTGAATTATGTACCGAATCACATTTATACCAAACAGCACACCATAACAAAAAAAAAAAATTTAGTGAATTATGACAAAAATATGGATAGAAGATAGTGGGATCAAAGTTTGATGTCACCATATTTTTGCATTTTTTGATGTCACCATTTCATAAGTCTATAAAAAGGAAGAGCAGAAGAAGAAAAAAGGGTAGTTCTGGAAAAAACAAAAAGAAAGGGAATCGTGAGGGGAAGAAAGCAGAGTCGTTTTCAGATCGTGAAGCAGAAGCAGCAGAAGAAGCCGTATCTATTCCTCTCTCTCTCTCTCTCTACTTTGACCGTGCCTCTTCTTTTTATTCCTCCTCATCATCAACATCATCGAGCTTTCTACTTCTTCCTCTGATTCTCTCCCATTCCAAATCAATCTCTAGGGTTCTTCAGGTATCCCAAATCTCCTCTCTTTTCTTTTTATTGCTAACCATTTCATCTACTTTGGGCTTATTTTTAAGTTAAATCTTCTTCTCATATTGCGTCTGCTTTTTACCTCTGCAAAGACAGAACCTTTCTCTGTCTCTCTCTCTCTGCTTGTACCTTGTACCTTTCTCTCTGTATACACTCCATTGTCTGCCGTTTCTCATCTCTCTTTTCTCCTTTTTTTCATTCATAAAATTTCTCTCGAGGATGCTTCTGAAGCCCCTTTTAGTCTCATCTCCCAGCTAAAATTTGTCTCTCTTTTTTTTTTTTTTTTTTTTTTTTATATATATCAGCAATACTTCAGAAGCTGGGTTTGGCCATGGAACCCAATGGGTACAGGAAAGAAAGAAGAAAGGAACAACATTTGGGGAGAATGAATGGTGGTGGTGATGTTGAGAGTGATCTTGATCCATGGACTGCATGGGCTTATAAGCCTCGCACTATCTCTCTTCTCCTTATTGGCGCGTGTTTTCTCATGTGAGTCATCATATCTTCCTGCTTCTTCCCTTTTACCTCTCTGCCCATTTCTCCTAATCCTCAAATTGGTTTTGAATTTGACTTAGTTGGGCTAGTGGAGCTCTTGATCCTGAGAGCACCACATCTGATGATCTTGTCACATCTGTCAAAAGGTTCTCTTTTTACTTCTGCCCACATCATGTTTTTTTTTTCTTTTTCATTTGATTCCATCAATTGACACTAGTCTACTATGTTTATGTTCCTTTTCTAGGGGAGTGTGGGCTATGATCGCTGTCTTTCTTGCTTACTCATTGCTCCAGGCCCCTTCAACGTTTGTTTACCATCTCAGCTGTTTAATTAATTAGCTTCCTCTTTTATAATGGAGAGTGTGGTTGGTGATACTTGTGCTGTGTCTTTAATCAAGTAATTTGCTTTATGCAGGGTTCTAATCAGGCCCCATCCTGCAATCTGGCGCTTAGTTCATGGAATGGCTGTCATTTACTTAGTTGCACTCACTTTTTTGCTCTTCCAGGTTCACTTTTACTCCTCCCTAGATCCTTCTTACTTGCCTATGCCTGTGGGTGTTGCTCTTATGAATTCTTGTTTTGAGTGAGCAAACTCTAATTTAGTTACCAAATTCCTTCTCCCAGAGACGTGATGATGCCCGGCAGTTCATGAAGTTTCTCCACCCTGACCTTGGAATCGGTAACAATTTCAGAGTGGAATGCTATTTAGTTGAGGAGTTACTACATCAATGATTGACCATTCTTATTGAGTTTGCTCATATTGCAGAACTTCCTGAGAAATCATACGGTGCTGATTGCCGTATATATGTGCCTGATCACCCAACAAACAGGTTTAAGAATCTTTATGTAGGGTATCTTCTCAACAACTCCCCTTTACCTTAAACAACCTTCATATCATCTAAAGGCTTATGCTTTTGTTAAAATTTCTCAGGACACAGTATTTGACGAGTTTTTCTTGGCTCACATCTTTGGATGGTGGGGTAAAGCAATTCTGATTCGGAATCAGCCGCTTCTTTGGGTTCTTTCAATTGGTTTTGAGTTATTGGAGGTTGGTCTTTGTCTCTGTTTTCTTATATTTCAGGTTTCAATTTGATAAATACAGGAACATTGCTTCCCCTGTGTCATCTAAAAATTATATTTATGTTCTCCAGCTTACTTTTCGGCATATGTTACCAAATTTCAACGAGTGCTGGTGGGACAGTATTGTTCTTGATATCTTGATATGCAACTGGTTTGGTATGATTTCTAAGCCACCTTGCCATTTTATATGTAGTGCTTCTAAAAATGTGATGGATAACAGTTTTCTTGTTTTAATGTTGGTAGGGATCTGGGCAGGAATGAATACAGTTCGATACTTTGATGGAAAAACATATGAGTGGGTTGGCATTAGCCGCCAGCCTAACATTATTGGCAAAGTAGGTTTGTTCAACCTTGAGAGTGCATACACATGGTCCTAGCCGTTGTACATGTGATGAGAATTTGTATTTTTTTTTTTTCAGGTGAAAAGGACACTGGGGCAGTTCACACCAGCTCACTGGGACAAAGACGAGTGGCATCCGCTGCAGGGACCTTGGCGTTTTATTCAAGTACTCACTCTCTGCATCGTCTTCTTGACAGTGGAGCTAAACACATTCTTTCTCAAATTTAGCCTGTGGATCCCTCCTAGAAATCCAGTGATTCTCTATAGGCTGATCTTGTGGTGGCTCATAGCGATACCAACAACACGGGAATACAATTCATATCTTCAAGACAGGTAAAGCTATAGCCCACTACGATGTTGGTTGTTGTTAGTTGAGAAAGAGTTTTGTATATAACTTGCAGTTTTGGTTGTTCACAGGAAACCGGTGAAAAAGGTGGGAGCATTCTGTTGGCTGTCACTGGGGATATGCATAGTAGAACTTCTCATCTGCATCAAGTTTGGAAGTGGTAGGTGGTTCCTTACACATGCTCTACTTTATTTGTTTATTGTTACAGTTACATAGTGTGGAGAGTGTAAACTTTGGTTGTATGGTTATGATACAAACAGGATTGTACCCAACAGAAATGCCATTATGGGTAGTGACACTATGGGGAAGTGTGGGACTTGGACTTGTGGCCTTCTTGCTGTGTTGGACATGGAAGATCCAGAAGATCCTCGCGCAAAAGCGACGCTAAGCTCATGATTATTGCTACGGAAGACGAGAGAGAAAGAGAGGTGAGACAGTGAAATGCCATTGTGGGTTTTTTGTAAATAGGGAGAAGAAGGAACAATGTAAATGCAATTTTCTTTAGGGGTAGTGTGTGATATTCAACATTTTACAGAGCTTCCACCAATTCTTTCATGCATAAAAAATTTGCTTTCATCTTTGTTCTGCCTCCTCAATCTGACAAAACATGTTGGTTTGAATGGTAAACATATTAATGTCAATTTTTGTTACCATTCACTACCTTCAAGTTTCAAAAGTTAAAGAAAAAATGAAGTTACTGAGCCATTGTTTCTTCTGCTTTTTGATATGATTGTTTCTGTTGCCAACTCTTTTACATGGCATTAACAACATTATTGTCCCATTCCTTGAATAAATTCTTGCAATTAACTCGATTCTTGTCACTTAATTTTTCCGTTTTTAATTATTGGTTCAGTTTTGTCTTTCTGGCCTATTATTATTTTGTATTATCATCATTCAATCAAACATATTTTGTTGAAGGAAATGAAAAAAAAAGAAGCAAGAATCAAATGATATTATCCATATATAGATTGTGTGACCTGCCGTGCCGCCCAACAACATCTCACATGTGTTTTTATCTTTTCATTCATAGGTTTGCAAATTCGTAATTTGGTATCTTAGACGACAATATTGACTATCTATCTAATCTAACATCACTCTTCCAACATCATATCTTTATTCCAACTTTCTTAAAAAAGCCAAAAATGTTGTTGTCAGAAGCTTAGGAATATTCTGACAAGAATATGATGATGCCATTAAGGGGAATCTCGAGTCTTAAATGGGCTTTTTTGGGCTCCAAGAAGCTAAGGCCCAAATTGCATATTTGTTGCCCGACGAAAACGTAATGAAAATGTTGAATCTAGAGAAATCTGAAGACTGACTCAAAACAACATCTGTGTAGGGTTCTTCCTTTGCTTCTTCGAGTCTCGATCTCCTCTCTCAATCTCAGGTAACGCCCAAAATCATCTTTTTAATTCATGGGATCTTTTTTCTACCACTTTCGATTTCACCATTTTTAGATCTGAGAATATCATCGTCCCACGAACCAATCGAATCTGTTGTTGTCTGACATTAATTTTCATTTCTATTTTGCAGTCTTGAGCTTCCTAATTGACTTTCAACATGTAAGCTCGTTGCCTTATATATTTTTTCTTACCAATCTCCACATTATATTGTGTAGATGGATCTCTAACATCCTCACACACGCTATAGTTTTCGTGTCTGAATTTCTAGACTGGAATCATTTTTAGATTATGCTCTTATGTAGTGTGTACTAGTGATTGGTCCGTCCATGAGGATCTCTTGATTTATTTTACCTGCATACTATCTCTATATCTTCGTCCATATGTTAGCTTGCTGATTAGATCCGATTCTATCCATTTTTCTGGCTTATGTTTTGGCATCATATAATCAGAGCTTCATCTTTTTAAGAAAGAGTGACAAACATGATATTATTTGCATCATTCACACGGGATTAGTTATCTAGCCATTGATGTCTCATCCTCGATGTATATGGTTTTTTTGAATGTTTTCAGGGCAGATGATGAAGTTGTTGATCCAAAGAAGTACCTTGAGGAATCTTGCAAACCAAAATGTGTGAAGCCACTACTCGAATATCAGGTGAAACTGGCTTGCAATTGATGTTGTGACTATTTACGAATTGGTTTGACACAGTCCCGTGTTTGTGGAGATCGTTGTTGATTAATACAAGTCTTGTTTGTGGTTTCTCAGGCGTGTGTCAAGAGAATCCAAGGTGATGATTCTGGCCACAAGCATTGCACTGGCCAGTATTTCGACTACTGGCATTGCATTGACAAATGTGTAAGTAGTTGAATTGTGCTTTTTTTTTGCTGTTCATCATATTCATATCTTCTACAATTTGATACTGAGATGAAAGTTGGATGTTGGATCTTCAGGTTGCGCCAAAGCTGTTTGCAAAACTAAAATGAAAAGAGGTCAAGCTGGAGACTCCATTGTCTTGAGTTTGCTACATGTGGTTTAAATTGATGTATAAAATGCAGTGGATGTTGAACTTTTTTACTGCAAACCAGAATATGCCAAATGGCTCTGCTTCTCGGTTTTGTTTCCATCGCAAGTTTGCGCTTATTATATTTTTTTTGCTACAGACGTTGTTACTTTGCTACTTGAGTAATTGCATACCTAATAAGAAGATATGTGCCTCTCTTTGGTCTTATTGTCGTAGACAATGCCTTGAACAAATCATTAGGCTTGGAGTTCCAACAAATAGAGATTTTCAGTCCTGGTACAATGAGACCATTAGGATTGGTTAGAGCGCACCATCAGGTCTCACTTTGAAACTTACTGGGCTTTGGAGGATATATTTATGATGATGGCAAGGTTATACAAGAGAGAATTGTCGTTGGTAATGTCACATGTGACTCATAATCAAGATATGATATGTGCCTTGTAAAGGACAGTTTGGAGGAGTGTGGGACGTATGGCATGCGGCGGCTGCATTAGACTGAATCTTATCCTTCACATTCTACAGCAATAATGTAGATTCTCCCATTTCGCTGTCTATATAAGGGTTAGAAAGTGTAATACCATTTCATACAGTACCATGCATTTACATAGCCATGAACGGTGGAGACGGTGCTTCTAGCTATGCTCGCAACTCTTCCTATCAGGTTTTTATTATATACATCACTCTTCCATTTCCTTTTATTCTAAGCCTACTAACATGCGCCTGTAGAGGGGAGCCATTGAGGCTGCTGAAGCACTCCTCAGGAACGAGATCAACACGCGGCTCGACATCACCAACCATTCCTTCTCGTCTTTTACAATCGCAGACTTTGGATGCTCCTCCGGCCCCAACACCATTCTTGCTGTAGACATCATCATCCAAGCCCTCTACCACAAGTTCACCTCTTCTCTGCCTAATACTACAACTCCTCAGTTTCAAGTCTTCTTCAACGACGTCCCCCACACTGATTTCAATGCACTCTTTGCTTTGCTCCCTCCACAACGCCCCTACTTCGTTGCAGGTTCCCTATTTTCGATTTGTTTATATCGGCACAAGTGAGTCCTCCACTTATAAGTGGTTCATTGCTTGCAGGTGTCCCCGGTTCCTTTTATGGAAACTTGTTTCCCAAGGCACATCTCAACATGGCCTACTCCTCTTGCGCCCTCTGTTGGCTCTCTGACTTGCCACCCGAGCTAACTGACATAAGCTCTCCTGCTTACAACAGAGGCAGGATTCACTACACGGGAGCATCAGCAGAGGTTGCACAAGCCTACTCTTATCAGTACAAGAAGGATATCAAGCTGTTTTTGCATGCTACGTCACAAGAGCTTGCAGAAAACGGGTTAATGGCACTGATTGTGCCCGGTGTACCAGATGGTTTTCTCGATTTTCAGGAGGCTTCAACGGGATCCGAGTTTGATCTGTTGGCTTCATGTCTCATGGACATGGCCAGAGAGGTACGTGGTGGTTTTCCGTAAGAAATTAGAAGGCATGACAGGTTAAAATGACCTAAAATACTTGACTGTGCAGGGAATAATAAAGGAGGAGGAGGTGGACAGTTTCAACCTTCCCATATATTACCCAACTCCAAGGAACTGGAAGACATCATCAGAAGCAACGGAGAGTTGAAAATTGATAAAATGGAGACACTGGGGAGCATGGACGCACAAGACACTATGCCTGACCTCCAGTCGAGGGTTTTGTACCTGAGAGCGGTGCTGGAAGGTCTCGTTCGCACCCACTTTGGCCACAAAATCCTCGACGATCTGTTTGATCGCTACGCCCTTAAACTTGCTCATTCCTCTGTCATCCTCCAGCCTCGTACCCACAAATCCATCATGATCTTTGCCCTCCTCAGTCGCTGTCATGACATCTAATATATATTCTCCATTATGCAATCCATAAGGAATGATGTACCTTTTATCTATATATGAATAATGTGCTTTACACAACTTTCATCCATCACACCGCCTCTACTTTGAATAAAGAATTTGAGTCACTATTAAACAAGATTCTAATTTCATTCAAGAAACATGTCAAAGAGATACACACCCATCAAGTACTCACAGTAAACACAACAATATGAATATAACGCCACAATTTATTGCTCCAAAGGTAACTCATTGCCTGTAGTATCCGCCACCTTGGTGAGGAGGTGGGTACGGGCTCTGGCCGGGATAAGGAGGCCGAGGCTGTTGTCCCTGCGGATCATAGTACGAGCCTTGTTGCCATGATGGATGAGGCTGTTGCTGGGCCTGAGGAGGGTATGGTTGTGGCTGGCCATGAGGAGTATGGTACGGGGGAGGTGGACCGTAGGGTGGGATAGTGTAGCCAGGCCTTGACATTTGCTCAGGCGGTCTATAGTATGGCGCATGTGGGTGAGGATGAGATGGATTCTGAGTTTCTGGTGGAGGAGGCGGACTTGAAGCAGCTGGTTGATGCACAGATGGGTATGGGCCGGAGCTTCTATGATCCTGAAAACTCAGACCAGACATCTGTCGTTGCACATCTTCAATCATTTCTCGGCACTGGATACTCCTTGTCATCACAAAATCACTGCACTGCTGCTTCACATTCGTAATTGCATCCTATTGAGACCAACAAAGACAATGTCTCAGAGATTGCAGGAAAGTTATTTCGTATCCTCAATGGAGTGTAAAATCAGAATAGAAGAGCCACCCAGACAAGTGGCATAATGTAGACAAGCTTAGACAGTGAAGAGCTTGCTACTATATAGAGAAAAGAAACTCACTTGGAGAGTGACATAGAATTTCAGGCCCTCATTGATGTTCTCCTTGATCTCTCGATACTTCATTATAGCAGCTTGAATCTGCTTGTAGCACTTCTCCTTGGATGCTGAACAATGGAGAAACACAGAAAACGAATGAGTGGGAGTAAAAGAACTGATATATAGGAGCATAAGAAATCCCACTACTTAAAAGCCGAATGTGTCAGTTCTTTCATCTCCAACCAACATGTAGAAAGCTAAACAGAAAGTTTTTGATCCATCATGCAAGACAGAAGCTGCTTGCTCACCTTTATAATCTTCAAGATTGAAAAGAGTTGAAAACTCTTCATTTTGAGCCTATAACCAAGGAAAGAAACCAATTAGATAGTAGTTGTTTCGACTAGAAGCTAGCACAGTCAATTTGCTTGAATATTGATTACAATCACCATATGCCTTTGGGTTATCAGAAAAGGATAAAAACCATAATGAAATATAAAATACCACTAAAAGGATGGCAAAAGAGGTAGACCTGAATTTGCATCAATAATTGTTCTTGAACTTCAATGTTTTGGGAAATATCTTCACAAATGTGATCATACTTGGATATCTCTTTCCTGAACATATCTTCATAGGAGCCTGTAATTGTCATCAGCTTTGGCAGTATGTCATCCTAAAACCAAGTATCAAGTAAAAGCCTATGAGTTTTTGACTCCAATATCATACAATAATCAAGAACGACAATGATCAATAGAAAATTCACTTTTCTTTTCATCTCTTTGAGCATGTCTTCAAGACCAGCCCGCTGAGCACCAAGATTTTCCAGTTGCCTCTGTGCAAAAAGGGAAGCAAAAATGTGAGAATTATGATTCGTGAAAGCACTTTCCAAATCCTTCCTAAAAGTATATAGTTGCAGATTCCAAAAGAGAGAGAAAAATACCAGACTCTGCTTCAGAGTTCCCACAATAGCATCCTCTGTTGCGTCCAGAGACATTATTGGCCTAGCTAGAGTTGGGACAGCAGACTCTATCTGATGATAAAAACCGAAAACCACAACGTCTATGAATTAGTATACAGATTTGGGTTTGTTATAGCTGACTCAAGCGTGTGATTTGAATAACCTGTACCCAATTATTTCAGGTACTAGGATAACCGAAATGAAATATACTAGCGTATACAAAATATAGGAAGTACTTACTGGCCGTCGATCAAGAATACACATGAGGGCGGAATTATCTCTCACTGATCGCTCAATCTTCACATCACTTTCTCCAGCTTGTTTCAAATTGGCTGCAAACCGATTTAGCCTATCCTGCAAGTTCTTTGTCAGTGTGCTAGATTGAGGCCTAGTCCACCGAGTCCCAAATTGACTTCTGAACTGAGAGTCTTCAGTTGCTTCTTTCTGCAAAAGCTCTTCAGTGTGCACCAACAGTTCCTGATTAACCCTCTTCAAATCTCTAAGTTGCTGCAGTTCAGCTTCCAAGCCAGCTGGACCACCACTGATCTGAACAGCTTCTACATCTTCTTTAAGATCAACAGGAAGAGCTGAATTACCATCCACAGCAAGAATAGAATCTGGAAGATCCATCTCTTTGAGCCTAACTCGAGTTAGTTCACTAGCTTGCTGTAATCTCTCTGCCTGAGTTCTAATTACATCATCGACCATCTCAGTGTATCTAGAGAGAGCCTTTGCACTGCTGTCTGGAACAAGGATTGCAAACATCTTTTCCTTGCTTGCATCCAATATCTCAGTCATGTTCATTGGCTTAACCATTGAGAAGGTGGGAAGTGGAGACAAAGAAGAAGGAGAAGGAACTCTCATGAGGTACACTCTGTCGTTTTCCTTGACAGCCCTATCCAAATTGGCATTAATGCTCGACTCTAGTGTGTTCATCGCTTCTATAAGCTGAGCAGGAGCTCCCCTTGAAGACTTCTTTGCTTCTGCCAAACGGCTGGCTCCGCTCCTCAGCCGTGCGATTTCTTCTGCAATTTCTTCTTTCTCGTGCAACTCTTTTCCATACCTAAAGCAAGCTTCACTATAGAAGAGTGCTGCTTTCAGCTGCACATGAGAAATCCAGCCTTTGTCGAAATGATCCTTCAATGGCGAAGTGATTAGCGCAGCTAAAGCTTCCTCATAATATATGCCAACCTGATTGCAAGCAAACAAAAGATGCAAATTCAATCGACTCCGTTACTTCCTCACAGTGCGGTAATACAGATGCTCCACCATAAACTAAGTACGTTTTTAGCATATATGCACATAATAACTCTGGTGGGGTCTGAATAATCTATCAATTCTAAGATCTTTTTTTGTTTTTTTGTCATCTATCAATTCTAAGATCTTGAGTCCATAAATATGCACAAATTCAATCGACCCTGTCACTTCCTCACAGTTCAGTAAAACAGATGCTCTACCAAAAACTAAGCAAGGTTTTAGATATCTGCTCATAATCAACCATGGACTGAAGAATCTATTAAATCTA